TAGGTGACTTCGTTCGAACTGGACTTCTGCTTCTAGAGCGGGACTTTGGTCTCCTATGGGGACTTCTGTGCTTGTCTCTGCTGCTACGAAGTGACGGGTCACGTGGTCTAGGCGTGTAACTAGAAGAGACACTAGTTTCACGACTGTAAGACCTACTACGCCTGCGTGGACTGTGTTCACCATGACGGTCATGATGACCTCTTCTCTCCGGCGTATAACGTCTGGGTTCTGGTCTCCTAGGGCTCCAAACTCTGTCCCGACTGCTCGAATGTCTCCCACGTCTCCTGGGGCTGCCACGTCTCGAAGGACTTGCACGTCTCCTGGGACTTGCGTGGCTTCTGGGGTCCTGAAATCTCCATGGGCTAGGGCTCCTGCGGGGACTCCTGTAACTTTTGCGGGGACTTCTGACAAATTCACTCCTTGCCGCTGAGCTTGGTCTGTCCGACCTTGCCTCCTGTTGAAGCCTCCGAGGACTGCTGTGCCTGGTGTTCACACTGTTCCTTGGGCTTTCTTGTTGCTTGTTTTGAAGCATTTCGTTCATCAGAACAGAAATCTTCTCCTTGAGAAAGTTGTCAGTCAGACTCATGTTGAAGTTCTGGTCTGCACTCTCTTGAATCCCTGCTTGCTCTGTGTCTCCATCAGTGCATTCTCCTTCTTCTTGCTGGAGAATGATAGCAGGACATTTCTCTGAGGTGTTCATGTAAACGTCCTCGTTGTTCATCATCTTGACGGATATAGTTGCTCCAAGTTCTGTTGAAGGCTTGTAGCGAGATGGTCGTCGAAAGGTAATAATGAAGTAGGTCGTAGCATGAAGCATGGATAGGCAGTGTATTGGACGAGTTCATTCACTAATCCGTTCATTCAATAGGGGTGTTAGACCTTTCGACTAGTCAATTTATTAAGGTAATGGCATATAATTAAGAGGGAAGTAAGTGATATAAACTGTTATGCTAAACATTTTCCTTCTTCACACAGGGTACACATTATTCGTTTTTTATAAGAAAACAAAAAAGTGACAAGTCTTTACCAGGGTGAAATATTAATCCTATTGTGCTAGTACTACTAGCCAACCATACCTGCCAACCTACCGTATTTTTACGGGAAACTACCGTAAATTTTTCGTTTTTCCGTAAAAAAATGACAAACTACCGTAATAAAATAACCATTTTTTTCCCGTAAAAACGCCCGTAAAAAAATCTACCGTATTTTTTTCGTAATCTACCGTAAATTTTCTTTTTAAAAAACTCGTTTATTCCATGAGAACGGCCGTAAAATCTACCGTAAATTTTTGAAAATCTACCGTAAATTTTCGAAAATCTACCGTATTTCTGCTAAAATCAACAGTATTTTTGTTCAAACTACCGTAAAATTTCCCGTTATTGTTATTGGGAAATGCTGAAAAATTGAAGTCTTCCTGTACTGTCCCTGTAATATTCCTTCACCAACCCGAATATAAATAGGTATCGGCAGGTCTGTGGTTATCAGGTTATTGCGCATTTATCTAAGTAAGCTTGCGTGTAATCAGTCCAAACACCAACTACCACTAGCTAGAAAGAATTCTTTCTGCCATGATTTTTGTAGTTAACCAAACCCCTTTGTAAACAGATCTTTATTCCGAATGCAACAAAAATATGATTTTAGTTGCGCTTCATCTAAATAAATGAGTGGAAATGCGTATGCATATTTAGCGTATGAAATATGCGTAGTTTGATTTGTTATGATCAGTAGTAATGAACGCCACATATACATTATACATAGTTTAATCAATTTGTTTACAGAACGATAAAATGTTGTATTTTTCATCAGAACACATTATTAGTAACAAATACATAATAAAAAAAAATAAAGCATTGAGTTCTGGTTTATTATAAAAGTATTTTGATATCCGAATCTGAACGATGTCTCAGGGGAAAGGTTTCAGCAAATGCTCATAACAGATTATTTTTGGAAGACAATTGATCTTTACTTATTTTCTATTTGTGCCAGACAAACACATGATATCATTAGAGACTTGCGAATGAACAAATCAATATTTAATACCATGTGATTCCAATGTTATATGAACATTATGTCTGTCATTTCAATTCGTTAAAGTGATAGATCATCTAAGATGGTGAGTAAAAACGTGTAAAATCCATATTTTGTATTTCAGTAAATGTTTCATTCATGGTATTTCCAAACATCCTGATATCTAAAAAACTGGTTAGAAGGTGAATAAAAGTGGAGATATGAATATTGCGTTCGTATTTTGAATCAATCTAGATTTATTGTAAAAGAGTTGTATATGTACATTTTGCTGAAACATTAAAATCCAAAGTTGCTGTCAGTCCATTGTAGGCATGGTAAATGAAGAATAAAAAGTGTTTAGTCTCTATTTATTCTTGAAAATAGTATATCTATTTTTTCTTGAAAATAATAGTTTCGTATAATTCTCAGGTGGTAGTTCTGCTTTACAAACTGTAATTATCAAAAGCACTCTTGCAGTAAAATATGTATTCACAATAACAACAACAATATGACCACGTAAACATTGTATTAATATAGAAAACCGCATTGTATAAAGGTTTTACTACCGCATTTTTCAAAATGTACCGAAAAATACCGCATTTTGGCAAATCTTCCGCAAAAGTACCAGTTTTCCCAAAAATTACAGTAAAAACCACTGGAATTTTCAAAATCTACCGTAAAACTACCGCATTTTTTCAAAATCTTCCGCAAAAGTACCGGTTTTTCAAAAAATTACCGTAAAAACTACCGCAATTTTCAAAAACTACCGTAAAACTACCGCATTTTTTCAAAATTTTCCGCAAAACTACCGGTTTTTTCAAAAAACTACCGTAAAAACTACCGCATTTTTTCAAAATCTACCGTAAAACTACCGCATTTTTTCAGAATCTTTCGCAAAACTACCGGTTTTTCAAAAAACTACCGTAAAAACTACCGCATTTTTAAAAATCTACCGTAAAACTACCGCATTTTTTCTAAATCTTCCGCAAAACTACCGCTTTTTTCAAATTTCTACCGCAAAATTACACTCTTTTCAAAAATCTACCCTTAACCTCTGAAACTACAGTATTTTTTTCAAATCTACCGCAAAAACTACCGTATTTTTTAAATCTACCGCAAAAACTACCGTTTTTTAAAAAATCTACCGCAAAAACTACCGTTTTTTTCTAAAATTTACCGCAAAAACTACCGTAGTTTTGTTGAAAAATACCGTAAAAACTACCGTATTTTGAAAAAATCTACCGCAAAAATACAGCAATTTTAAAAAAATCTACCGCAAAATTTTGGACTTAGGTTGGCAGGTATGTAGTAGTCTAATGGCAATGGGCCCAGAATATTTTTATACACATTTCCAATTTCAAACAATCAAATCACAAAACAAATAATTATAGGATATACTAGTTTACTGCGAGGTTTATTTATCTTAAAGTATTTTACACTAATACCTTACTAATATTAACATAGCAAAATACATGTAATATAAACAAATTATTCATTCAAGATTTTTACCTGATGTGAGTTTCTGAGATCAATTTGAACACGAAAAAAATCAGATGTCCTATTCTGACTCTAATATCTGAACATACTTCAATCTATACTTTCTTTTCACATTGCTAGTTTCTAGTCTTCTAAGCTACTCACATAAGGCAAGAGAAGATAAAGACGGAGAATGGTATGTTGTATGCTTGTATGTGTGAAACAAGAATTTTAAAGAGTTCATTATGCAAAAATACATTGCCTGCATTTAGGCTATCATTTTACAAAATGTTTATTTTGTGTGTGTATTTTTTCTTTTTTTCTTGGAGCGTGACATATGGTCTCTTTGAAAACTATTTTAGTTTCTGAGACACATATTTACAGAATGCAATTGCCATCAATTAAGTGGTTTAGACACCATGGCAACAGTGTATGCGTATGTGATATATTTGGCATGACTAATTGTACAATTTCAAATGTGCAATAATCTTCAACTAAGATACAATTCCTTTTTGTGATTTCAGTCTTACAAACACTTGTACAAATTGCAACTCAGTTTTCATATCAAATATACAAGTAACATGTTCATAATACAAATCAACAGATTCTAAATATTTGGCAATTTACAACTGCATATTAGTGACATTAATGTGCAATATAGAAATAAAAATAATATATCTAAATGTTTTAGTAACCATAGCAACAGATAAGTACACATATATAATATGCATATTTATCAGAGATTATCACAAGGACCAATCAAAATATTCTGAGATATTTAATAATTTTATCAGAATTTATGGATTGGCCCTTGTGAAAAATATTCATCTATCTATTTTATTTGGCAAAATCTACTGAGATTAAATCATTTGACAAGTTCCCTTGGAGACATATATTGTACATTTTTTTTATCTTGTACAGTGTTAGGCAGTTTTAATTTTAAAATGTCAGCCACCCAGGCTAATTGGGGCTTTTCATTTACAAAAGAAAGTTGGCAAACTTAGTAGAAAACATTATCTTGTATTCAAAAATGCTTTTTCAAAATATTAAAAGAATAAGCTTTTCCCATAATTCAATGATGTTCTAACAGGTTGTTAGTTAAGAAATTATTGCGCTTGAATCATGGGAGCCATCCTTCTTTGCATTTCACTGGAATAAGTTGTGTGTCCACTGTCCATTCCTGTTCACATATATCACTCTAAAAGCTGAACATCAGATTCCATAGATATCCAGTTTATAGATTGACCACCATTTCTGATTGCTCATCTCTGCCAACCAGTTATATAATACTGCTTTATATTTATGCAGATGATTTGTGATAGCCAGAACGCTGCTCTAATACTGCAAAGTGTTCCCTACCAGGGTATTTATGGCTAATATCAAAGTGTGTACCCTGCATTTGGAGGTGTCCTTCGACATACTACAAGATCACTCATTCATTTGATGATCTTCATTGTATTGTCGGAGGAATATTTGTGTAGTGTTAGAGTTTGTCTAGAAGGTGAAGGTGAATTGCATTTTTGGCATTTTGATAATCTTCACTGAATCATCGGAGGAATATGTGTGTAGTGTTAGAGTAAGCCTAGAAGGCAAATCCTCCTGTGGGGACAGCCTGGGTGGTCTGGAGCTGGAAGGTACCATCTTCTGTAGTTTCTGGAGCCAGTTCTTTGTCTTCATCACCCTGAAACATTAGTTAGCAGTTGTTATGAAGACAAACACAACAAAATCTTCATGACAATCAGCAATCGTTTATCAAGGGTCCATTACTAGAGTCATTAAGAGCAGGATCTTATTGTGGTATCAAAGTTCCATAGATCTTTCACTTGGACCTTGGTCCTCAAAAATATTGTAACTGATTAAAAACTGCACATGTGTGAAAATAACCATCCTCCGATCACAGGGCTTCAAAATCCAGAATATCTTCTTTCTTTTTACCCCCTGCTATAACCAAATTGGAAGCGCCCGATTACACTGAATCACGTGTTCTGATTATGCACTGATGACGTTCACATGATTGCAACAAGTCAAATTGCGAGTTCTTAATCGGGGAAATGCTAATTGCTTATAGCAGGGGGAAGGAGGTACAGATTCTGGACACCTGCTTAGGAGGATGGAAATTTACAAATATAAACAAGAATTTCTACATTCATCTGTTCATTAGAAGAGTATCATATCTTATGAAGGATTTCTCCATAGGAAGAATTGACCCAATGCCACCCACCTCTTCACTGTAATATGTATCAATGATTTTCAATGCAAAGTTGTAGACATCTTCATTCTCATGCTGCTGGAGGTCTTCTATCTTCTGTAAACCATCAGCTTCTTCTATGAGAATACACAGCTGTTCTGTTTGTCCATTCTTATCAGCAAGCTGGAAAACATAACAATATAACATGATAATTCAATGTTCTCCACAGGATAGCAAAACTAGATGCAAAATTCTCCTTTTCATAAATCAGATCGAAAGTAGTCAAAATATGCCCATTTTACATGATTCTTCTCATTTTCCAGTGGGTGCAAATGGATTTTCAGGTGGGTGTAAACCTGTTTTTAAGATCTCAGGTGGGTGCAGCACCACTTGCTTTAATGCTGGGGAGATCACTGTAATTATCATAAATATGACCATAGAACAAAGGACACTGAAAATAAAAAAATTATTGCCAGAGGCTGGAAACTTCTTGATGGCCTTATTTCGTTAATTTTCTGGATTTCATTTTCAAAGTCTGGAAGTGTTTTCATGAAGAAAGCAGTATTTTATGTTCGCCTGAGCTAATATTTCTCTATTTGTATTGTTGTTTACCGAATACTTACTATCTATATCATGGTTTACAGGTTAGAGAATTCCAAAACAAACTGCGAGGCATTGATATTGTTATTTAACGTAGTGGTCAGGTTTTGTGTACATTTTAAAATGTTTGACTACTTTTTCACTAACACCACACTTTTAAATTATTTTCTGAATGACACAGTTACATCATATTTGTGCGGCATTTATTTCATGAAAGTGTCTAGTATTTTAGTGTTTCCAGTCATTCCAAATAAAAATCAACTCATACTTACAGCCAAGAGACTTTTTAATGAGTCGAGGATGATGAGCAGTAGTTTGGAATCTTTGGCAACGAGGAGATCACACAGAGGCTTAAGGACGCCATACTGTATGCACTGACCAATCTGGACAGGGGTTCCACCAGATACAAGGTTTGTTATTGCCCATGTGGCTTCTTTCTGAGTCTTGAAATCTCCCTGAAATCAAAAATGTCAAACACTCAAAATAAATCATACAATGGCAGTCTTGAGCTTTGTAATATTGCCCAATCTTTTTTGTAGACATTTTTAGAAAAGTTCAATTGTAAACAATGTGTTTCTCTCAAATAAGGATTGAGGCACACTACTTTTAGACCATTAATACTTAAAATAATACTTAAAATTAACATAGCAGAAACAATTAATTATTCATTGTCAATTTGATCATACAGGGACCTGTTATATGGTGCAGAATAAACATAAATAAGGCATTACACACAAAATGTCACCACCTGCCATTTTTTACAGATGTCAAGCTCCAAATACCAAACACCATCCACAAAAAAGGGAACTATAACAATTATGTCACTTCTTATGGTGGTGACATAAAAACAATGGTAACTGATACACAGCAGTTTGATTGCTTCGAAGCATTTTGACCAAAAAAAGCTTTAAAGGAGCATTAAAACCTAAGTAGAGCTCTAACCAATGAAAATTGATAAGGACTGGTGATTGCAGAGTACTCATGACAGCAAAAAAGCAACTTACCACAGCAAGTTGATGAATGATCTTGGGTACGAGACCTGCTTGGAAGACTGCCTCAATCTGGTTGACATTTCCTGCGGTGATATTTGAGATTGTCCATGCAGCCTCCTTTTGGATATTGTTTTTGGGATGACTTAGTAAACGGGGGAAAAGTGCCAGAGCTCCCGCATCCAAGACTGTCTGAAATAATATCAAATGTATAAAATACAGAGTTGGCCATAATATGGGACACTTTGAATCCTTCTTGAATTCTCTGTAATCTCAGGTGTAGCTTTCTTAGGTGCAGACATCTAACACCAGTCGCATTAAACAACTTCAACAAAAAGCTTCAGCATTATAGAATTTATTTAAGTTTGAAGATTTGAAATTTAACTAGAATTTACAAAACGGAGAGAGAGAGTAGAATTTACAAGTTTGAATTTCTAAAATTTAAATGAATATGAGTCGAGAACTTACCTGAGTTTGAGTATCATCTCCAGTGACTATGTTTCCAATGGCTCTAAGTGCGGGGGTAAGGACGGAAACTTCTTCCGTTTTTAACAGTGAGAGAAGAGTAGGTACAACACCAACATCAACAACTGCTTGTATTTTATCATTGGTGCCATCAGTTACATATGACAGGGCCCAACAAGTGTCTGACAGGATGTCTCGGTCTTTGTGGTGCAGCAAACGGGCAAGAGTTGGAAGGAGGGCACGAATTGTGTCAAACATGGGGGGTGGATCCTTGTTACGACACAAGTTAGAAAGTGTCCAGGTCACGTTCCTCAAGAATGAAGTCTGAAGAAATAAGAAGGTTCATTTTAACTCACCAATATTCATTCACCAGTTTTCAATTGTTATATACAATAAATGTTGGAACAAATTCAAAATGGTTACTGAAATAAATCTAAATGTAAAAAAGTTAAGCATAGTATTAAGAATGTTGTATTTTTCTTGGATATTATTTATGAAAACTGTAAAGTATATAATATATTGTCAACTCACAGGTGTATCTGGTTTTACAAGGTTCAGCAGGGGCTGCACAATTCCAGCTTTTGTCACAAAATCACGCAACTTGGGGCCATCACCTAAAAATAAGAAATGCACATTGGTTCTTTCTTCATTACTTTTTTTTTACATTTGCGTGACTGTGGCTATTGAGGCCTATGCAGATTTATAGTTGAGCTCATTTTCTATTGTTGTCTAAATACCATTATACATTTCATAGTCAACAAAAATATTCACCAGCGATATTTCCAAGTGCCCACACAGCCTGTTCACACACATTAGCCTGGTCTGATCCCAATAGCTTGATAAATGGAACGACAGCTCCTGCATTCACAACTACGCGTGTCTGCTCCTGCGTCCCAGAAGCGATATTGGTCAGAGCCCATGCAGCCTCAAACTGGACCTCAGGTAGATCATTACGGTCAAGGAATGCCACCAATTTAGGGACCATGCCGGCTTCGATCATTTGGTCTATAGGTGGACTACGTTCTCTGGAGAGCATCTTACGAGCTGCTTGCACACATTGGAATTGAACGTTAGGTTGTGTGCTGTCTACGCCATTTAGGATTTCTATCATGGTCATGCCAGCAATGTTGGTCTAAAATTAATAGTTACACAGAATTACATGAAAATCATTAAAGGTAGGTTACCATTTCCGTGATTTGGAACTTTCTGTCAGGTAACTAATACATTTACCAACCTATTAACCAAAATAGTAACTTTAACCTAAATTTTAGCCATTTCAGATTCCATTGATTTTTCAATAGAACAATGTAGAACCTGACCAAGTGGAACATCTTTGGTTGGTACCTATAAAAGGTGGTTCACTTATAAAGTTGTTCAACTTACAGAGGTGTTCCAATTACAGATTGTTGCACTCGATAGGTTTTACTGTATTAATCATACAATCAAAAGAATCTAATGATTAAGTTATTCTAAATGACTGAGCTATATTGGGGTAATCAAGGGCAAGTGTCAAATGATGCTCACATTCTTTTCGGCCAATGGACTAGTTGGTTCATCATCCACTGTAACATTGCGACGTTTAAGCATTTGGTCATCTTTGCGAGCTTTACGTAACTCGACAGAGGTCTCATTCCTGCGACGACGCATTTCCTAAAAAAAGATTATGAAATATAGTAGTCTATAGTGCTTTAGAGGAAATATACAATACAGTTCACACTTCAATTGAAATATTTGTGCAAAATAAGACTGGGGCAACTTTAGTGATAGGCTTTGACAAAAAAACATACAGTGACTTTAGACAGTGAGTTGAATAAGATTTACTCACATCTTGGTTTCTTCCTTTGTTTTTGTAGGTTCTCATACGTTCAACTTTAGACATCTTGCTTTTCTGTTTGTTTCAGCAAATAAGTAAACACCGCTGAAACAAATAAACAAAATAAAGTTAATTTTCAGTCGATGAGTAAGTTCATAGGCTATCTTCCATGTCATATGATAAGCCCATGTTCACACATTTGTCCATGTTTCCTGACAGACAGGTTGGACTCTATCAATGCTTTTATTACTCCTCGCAGTGACGCCTAAACTGCAAAGGAGGGCAGTTGAAGTGAGCTATTAATATTCCATTAATACAAAGAAGAAAGCATAGACATGTAAATCCTGGATCTCTGATCACAAATATTTTGAATTTTTAAAATTCAGTTGCAACATCATGATCATGAAGATCAGTGAACACTGTCACATTCAAAGTTGGTTCATTGCAACATGTCTACTGTCTTGATTCATGCAATAACATGATGGAATAGAAGTCATAACAGTCTATTATATGAGGGAATCAATGCACTATTGAAAGATTGTTATGAAATATTTGGAAATATGTCCTAAACTTACCAAAAACTCTCTCCACCTGCTTTGTCTGGCTGTGTGGCAATTTTTGAATTTTATGAAATTTAAAAGGAAGTGTAACGTCCAATGTGATTGGCCAGCCAATTAGAGAACTCAAATTTGATTGGCTGTTATTTTTATGATAAAAAATCATGATAAACGATTGATAAGATATCTAAACAGTATTGACATACATGATTTGTATGGTTTTTATAAATATGATTGTCAAAACTCATATAAAAATATTGTGAATACTTTACTCTATTCTTGCCAATGAAAATCATTCTATTTTTTAAGAATGATGCGCATGCGCAAGATTTGTTTTCAAAATGTCAGCGGACGAAGATACTGAACTTCGTGATTTAGTCGCAAATACACTAGAAACAAATGGAGTTCTTGGTAAAATAAGGGTATGTATGTATTTCTATGAGAAATGACCATATTATTGCCAAATTTAAACGCATTTCATTGTCGCGTAAATTTTTGTTTTGAAAAATAATCTCAGTTTCTGATTTTTCAGGTTTTTCAATATTTTTGGGAAAACATTGAGAATCCAAATCATTTAGAGGTCAAATGGTGTTTGTCGAGTACTGTTATATTCATTCACATTGAAAAAATCGCCAACTGTTTGATATCATGTGCAACATTCAGAGTTAGACTTCATTTCTTTTTTGCATCGAGAGTCCACACATTTATAAGGGGACGACATCATAATTCAACTTATGGGGTCACTTTGACCCAGAGCTACTTCACCTATGGGGTTATTTCCGACCATGTTCGTAATTCAGATTTCCAGGTTCAGCCATCTTGGAATAAGATCTCATTGGATATTTCGATTTACATTTAAAATTTTTATATAACAAACATGGAGGACTGCGTTGATTGAAACTATACAACATTGTCCAAATAGCCCCATGGTCGAAATAGTCCCACATCAAAATATGTCGAATTTTGATGCAGTCCCCCTTAGTAGCCAAATGACAAGCAGTCCAAGATATACAAATTTGCATATAAAATATGAATGTATTTTTTCCATAAATTATTGCACAGTGGTCTTTTAATTGCTTATTTTTGGCTTGATAAACACAACTTCACTCCTATTACAGTACAGGGTGACCCATAAGAAATGATCCCTCAAAAAGTGTAATACACTGAACCCTGTATATCCAAACACCTCACTAAATTGAACACCTCTCAATGTGAACACTTTTTCTCTGTTCCAAGTTTATTATCTTCCATTGATATACATGTTTATAAGATCTCAAAAGTGAACACCTGCTACTCCAAACACCTTTAGTTGGTCCCAGAGTTGTTTAAATTAGACAGATTTTACTGTAATTTCTTAAATACCTATCCTATCAACCCATTTTTTAGGTGCATAGACTAAAGTGTATAAAATGTTGAAAGAAAGATTATTTCTTGAGTTCTTATTTTCAGGCACAGCTGCGTGCAAGCGTGTTCTTAGCTTTAGAGGAACAGGATGCAGTACAGGTAAAAATGCTAACATAATACAGATTCACACCTGATATACTTGAAGTTGTACAAGGATTTCATAAAACTAGGATCTAAATCTATATTACTTGCTCATGAGTCCATAAAGTTGTTTGTGCTTAGTTTTAGAGCCTCGTTGAATTTTTGGGAAAGGGTACAGTAACATAACTTTGAATTCTCGCACTTAAAAGTAAGTCCTGTTGTCACATTAAGGTTTTCCTATATTAATTGATATTAGTCTATGAGATGCAATACTGTAATATATAAGACACTGAGATGACAAAAATGTATTGTTCCATGCATATATTTCCTCACTGCTATAATTTATTAGTGTTTCAATTTACATGGATGCCCCTCATTGATGAAAATTTCAGTGCATCATCCATCATCCAATAAGATCTACATACTATTTAGTATGTAGTTCATATATATATTTTGTAGAATAAAACACCACTTCTCAACCAAGATCTAAAGAAATTTATAGGAACAAAAGAGGGTAAGTATCCCTATTATATTACATTATGTGTGATTAAGTTATAATATATTATATTATATGAGGTCAGTGCATTGGAATGTAATGGAGGTTAATGTTATTACAACTGACCTCAAAATTAAAATGACATTTCAAATAACTATTTTCTTGTTTATAATCCTAGCAATAACCTACTTGTGAATGATTTACAGCAAATATATCAATCCTAGATTTTTTTCTTTCAATTTACCTACTTCAGTCTTTTCACAATAATCAGATGAAGTCAGCAGTCCTTTCAGTGTTATACTGTCATATAGATTCTGAAAATCTTTGTCTTCATCCCATAATCATTTGACGCATTTACTTTTTACTCTAGGGAGGATTGTAACTAGTTTAGTGAAGGAGTTCCTAGAACACTTCAACCTTGAGTTTAGCACTGCTGTGTTCCAACCAGAGACAGGATTTGTGAGTATACATATCAATTGTGTAATAATTCAATTTAGAAATAGTGAATTTTTCTAAATATGTACGTTTTTGAATCAAGTTTTTGCAGTGGGGATTTCAAGGGATATTTTTTTAATTCTACTTATGATTATTCAGTAAATTTCACACTCTTACCATAATCGTTCATCGTCATAATATATGCTCTTCAACTTCAGACTTTACAGAAGAGCAGAGAAGATTTAGCGCGAGATCTCAACATTGTAGAATCTGAAAAATCCCATAATGCTCCACTTTTGGCAGAAGTTGTGAAACGCCTCGGCTCAGATCCAAAAACTCCAAGACGTGATGGAGTTGATGTGAGTGAAAGAACGCATGTAAAGTCAATTTTTATTATTATCGATTAGAAATGTTGTGCTGACTTTTGGAGATACACAGGTTTGACACATTCGATGACATCATGGAGGTCATGTACTTTTGGGCATGTGATCAGGAAGAACATTTGGCGCCAGTCATCCTTGTATTTGTCATGGATTCAATTCTGCACTTTTCCATATTTGGATTATTTTACAAAATTGTGATTTTTATTCAAATCTATTGTTTCATTTATTTTTGTGGAAAAGCACATTTTTCTTATAATTGATAATAATATGATGATTTATTTTTAATAATTGTATTTTATTTATTAATTGATTACTTATTTTTGTTAACCTAACATAAACCTAACCTTAGATCTGTGTTGAAAACAATATTTGATTTAATATCTTATGTTTTACATGTAAACTACTTTAATCTAACAATTATTGTTTTTTGAAGAATAACCACGACTGCAAAAACTGTCATAATGGCCATACTTTAAAATGCATAAGCAGAAGAGAAGATATGCAAGAAATAACATACTCAAGCGTGGAGCTAATGTTTCAAACCATAAAGTAATGCCAAAAAATCAGTATTTTTTCAAATCTCAGAAGATTAGAAAAATGAGAGAATTAGAGTAATACCATTGTGATATTTTGAGCAAACTGCATGCATAATCCTCATGCTTCTTTCAAATCAAATAACCTATGTGTTCATTTCCACAATTAATTTCAACAAACAGTATTGTGCACAGCATCAGGGAAACAAGTCATATAGATGTTGGCTATTTGGTCATCGAAAGAAGAGATGGGCATGTACAAATTGAGATATTTCTTGAGTGTCTGACTACTGTAAGAGCTGTACTGTTATAGGATTTATTTACCTTTATCCTTTATAGAATTCTGAGGATTTAGATGAGGTATATTTTGTCCTATTTGAAAGTACACATTACCTCATATATAAGATTTTTGAGGGAACTCAGTAAAGGAATTATTGAACTTCCCTGGGGCCAGTTTTAAGAAATATGTTGGATCACAATGGATGGAAATTTGTCATCCTGTATTGTGAAAGATATGACAATTATTCTCATTTCATGAACACTGTTACAATATCCATTTTAGAAACATGCCCCTGTGGTGTTGAAATTATTGTTCTTTTATTGCACAGGCAGTAATGTTAATCACATTTCTTGTGACTTGTCAGTGTAGCTAAGTGCACAGATCTACCAGGGAGCCGTTTCTCAAACATATCATTAGTTTATTTTCACATTTGATATGATTTACATGTATACAAACCTATTGAAAACAGTAATAAATCGTCAGCTCTCCTAAGAAATGAACCCATTACATTGATGCTGTTTCCCTTACATTATGTGATCTATGATATTTTTCTGAAAACTGCCCCCTGATCAGTATAAGGGTCTTTATGACTAATTATATGTTCTCTGTGAGGCATGATCTGTCTTTAATTGTTACAAGACGTTTGATTGGTCAGGAGGATTGAGCCATTTGGATAATGCATGATTTTATGACACTTCTATCCACTCTTCTACGTCATTGTAAACATTTATATGGGCCCCGACTCTCGATCTAAAAAAGTAAAATTGCTTATAAGGTTATAGTTAAGACTTAGTTGGAAAAAGTATTTATGAGGTGCCCAAAGGAGAAATGACATAATTTTTGATTTTTATTATATTTCTTCAGACACTGAGATGCCTTTTATCAGTGTCCATGTATTTCTCTTCTTTTAATTAAGTCACCATAATTGTTTATATGTCTTCTGGGACAGAAGAAGATATCGCAAGATTGGGTGGTAGAGAGTAAATTTAGGAACCAAGGGTTCATGCAAGACTTAATACTTACATGTATATGAAAATTAGATGTGATAGTTATACAGTCATAATTAGTTCTGTAGTTTTAATTTTAATTTGTTCTCTAGTTCTCCACTCCTAATCTATTTGATGGATTCATGTGTTCAATACCAGGCCTGTAGCCAGGGGGTTCTAGCCCAAAATTCTTCCAAAATCATCCAGTTTTTCACCATTCTGAGCACTCTTCACATGATTTTGGACATTTTTGGGCCAAAGTTGTCAAAAGTGAATCCACCCTGAAATTTTTCAAAATGTGAACCCCCTTGGCAAATCATGGCTACGGTCCTGAATACAGCACCATAATCGTTGTTCATCAGAGAAAGTAATGTAATGTAGTAATTTATTTCATTGTTACATTGATATTCATTGGACATAAATCAGATAATTTTTCGGGTTCTCAAAATGCTTTCTTCATAGTTACCAATTTATAGTATATTTTTATGATACCACCACAAGTGTTGTTATGGTCTCCAACATTTTTGTGGATGATGCTCAGTGGCTGGTGTTGGGCAGTTGGCTTTCGGTGTCTGTAACAAATGGCATGTGGTGACCCTTTGCATGTTAATACCATGTTGTTAATGTTCTTTGCACGAGTATAGCTAAGATAAATGGTATACGATTGTACATGTATATGTAATTCTTACACATCCTAAAAAGCAGTATTTCCACATAAGGAGCAAATTCTTAATATGTAAAAACTGAACCATTAGTTGGTGTAGGATTGTTTTTCTCACTGATTATGTACTGTGTTTAAGACATATATAACCACTGCATGATAACACTATTAACTGATTTCAATTCAATGCTTTAAATTTTATTTCAATAATTTAATTATAGATGTTTCCCATGTTAACATTGTAATGCATCTATAAAATAGAATTTACATTCTCTACTTCAGTATACATTTGTATTCCACAATATAATAGTATCACATCCAATTAGTAGATATTCGGTGTGTAAAATCTAATTGATTTTGAATGATTTTCTGGCACTTCCTGTGTTTTAGAATAAACCATTGTAACGAAAAATGCTTTGGCAAGGATGTGTTTTATCATAGCTGAATCTGGTATTTTAAGAACTCAGAAGTTTAAGCTTTCAAACACTCATATGCTGTTTCAAAAACCTTTCCAAGTTAGCTGAAGAGGTTTTCAGAATTCCAACGAAACTATGAGCTGTGTCACATGACTTTGTGAATGTGATGCAACCATATTTGGGTTTACTAACATACCCCAACACAGCAAAACCTTTGTATAGTGAACACCCTTGGAGGCGCTCTCTACATATAGCGTTTTATGTACAGAAGTCAAATGAAAAGTCTCAGCCAGTGGTTTTCAATAATTAAAGAAACACTTAGATTTCAAAATTTTCAACATATCCATTCATATCCTATTTAGACTTTGATAAAAAGACATCCTTACATGATTGATATCTTGTTTTACCTTTAACTGTTCTATTCTTAATGTTTCCCTCTTTAGGATGGCACTGAATACATCAGAGTTCCAAAGGTATCTTTTCTGTTTATTCAACACTAAAATATATCATATTTCACTTTTATTAACCCATAGATTGTAGATCGAACCTTCATCATTTTGTCAATGATTTATAACAGCCACACTTTGTGTATTTCTGAGTTTACTTTAGGCTGAAGAGATCCAGTGTATTCTTATAATTCAATTTCATTCTTCATTGTACTTGTGTGTTAGCTTAACTAAAGCTTTTTTAACATGTCAAAATTGAGTTAACCATAACATGTATATAGGGTATAGTCAAACATCCATTCTCAATTTTCAGGGTTCAGTATGATAAAACTCAAAATCAATACAAATTCCCCTTTTATGAAGGGTGCTTGAATTATTGAACCCTGCAAGGATGTTGATATCTACTTATTTTGCCACAAGAAGGATTTGTAGCCATGATTCAAACCCAATCCTCCGTTAACTGGCATGGGCCAACATGGTAATAATATTACCCATATATTGAAGACTACCACTGCCACATGGTTTGAGTAATACCCAAACACTAGGTAATGTTCATATCTTGACTAAATACTTGGTCTTAAATGAACATTATAGAAATTTTATGACCAAATTGTTCCATGCCAAGCAATTGAAGATCACATCGGAATCATGGCTACCAATTCTCCTTGATTTTGCCATTAAGTTAGTGCTGATGATTGTAGGATTTGTCCAATAAACATATATCTGAGGCAAAGAGAAAGTTTGAACAATATGATGAAGACAACAGTGGTTCTATAGATAAAGATGAATTGAGGAGTCTCTTTGCTGATATGTTCCCACATTTCCACAGGTTTGTTTTAAGTAGCTTTAGAATTTTTGGGAGATGGGGTAGGTATAAGAGCGAATAACTAGACTTTTTGAGGAGGCCCATTAACAGGTCATTTGATATCGATAAAAGTTCAGATCTAAAATTCTAGTTATTTAAAGAAAGTAAAGAAGAAAAGCCTATAGTATAGAGAAACTCCTAATAATGATAAAATAGCAAAATAATGAATTATAAGACATGGTCAATATTTAGAGGTTATGTCACTATGACGTGAAATATGCCTGAGTTCTCCCAATATAGGCCGACCTTGGGAGGCTCTATATTTGGGCAAGAACGAAGGCATATTTCACGTCATAGTGACATAACTGATGTATTACATGCCTTTGTTCCCATGGTTACTTTGTATCAATGACGTGACGTCATGATATTATCATGGTTATTAAAGAAATCTAATATCAAAACGAGGTAAGCGGGCTATATCGGGGTAATCGGGCAATATCGGTGGATATAGCTCGCTAACTTTCCCATTGACTTCCATACAAATGCTTCGCTAGGTATGTAATACATTGATATATGGCTGTGATTGTTATCTATGTGCAAATTTATTTTTTTAAGGCAAGCAACTTTTTGAAACAATCAAAAATGTTCAGTTTCATTTTTTCAAAATAAAATTTAATTTAATATATTTGATTTCAGAAACATGTTAGAGAGATATGTTACTGATGAGTTCCGTGCCATAGATAAGGATTTTAGTAATAGTAAGTATGGGTGAAATGGGTTTATGTAATATTTTGGGTAAGATTAACAAAATATTGATTTTAAATGTTGCATTGGGGTTTCAAAGTTCAATTGTACCTAGGGAACACCATTATTGATATTTTGAATTCACATGGATTGGTTCATCAAAATTAAACTAGATAGTTGAAGCCTTTTCTGATGCCTCACTCAATCCAAAATGTTAATTCAATATTTTTTTTCAGCTATTGATTTTGACGAATTCCTACAAATGTACAAGCGTCTTTTCGTCCTGTGTAAGTCTGTTGTGTCACATGACATCTCTGATATCACACTACAATCTCCACGACGTCTATCAGACACCCCATCAAAAATCCCAGCACCTATTAAAAAGGTAATACATTGTTTAAGCTAACATATTATTATGTGGTGTCTCAGACTTTTATTACATGGTGCCTCAGACTTTATATGATATAAAGTTATTAACCTACTTTACCTACACATTTAAGAGAGGAACAATACATGTACTACACATATTTGGCTTAGCCCATTATATTGAATCAGATTCTCTAGTCCCAAAATCAGGATATTTCCATTTTCTGCCTGTTAGCAGCTGACAATCATTACACATTCAAACTACAATTATATGCCATGAATGCTCATTGAAACCTTGCAGGCAGTAAAATTCAAATATTGACATTACCAGAAGCTTTTAATATAAGTGAAGAATTTGTACAATCCGTTTAATACTATGACATCATGGTATCCATGGAAACAACAATTGACAACCTTATTTTACTTCTGCTTCTGGTAATATACCTTGGGTTTGAATGGTTCACCTTGAAATATTATTCTAGGGTCCACAGCAGAATGGCAATGGGGAGATTAAGGCAAAGAAACTTGTTGAAAATGGCAACAAACACCAAGCAAGCAAACCCTCCAATGTATTAACAGGTGCTGACGATCATGATGATTTCTTTGATGAGCCAGTGGTGAAACAACAGGATACAAAAAGGTAAAGAAAATTCAATATAGAATTAATATTTTTGGGTTGTTGCTTCATTTGGTTTAAACCTTTTTTGACTGCATTGAAAGATCGGTGAATGTTTATTTTTAAGCCTCATTGAATCAAGAGAGACATTAAGTTGGGCTAGCTTAAAAATGTTTTGCCTTTTAACGTAGCTTTGGCATTAATAATTCAAGCAGATTTTTCACTTTAATTTTTGTTCAAGGAATATTAAAATTGAATATCATCCTGAAAGTTCAATGCACTGTTATTTGTTCGAATTTGATCATTACAGTATAACTGACCACATGGATAAATAAGTGAAGGATAATTTCTGATGTTTTCTTCTCATCTCATATTCCAAATAATGATAATAAAACGGTTCATATCGTATACAGTGCCTGCGATTGGTAAGATGAAATGCTTGTGCCCACTCTCAAGCACAACATGTCATTATTGAATCATTAATCACATTAATTTCATGGATTTGATCATTAATCACATATATGAGCTATAATATAACAGTTGATATTATATTGTGATGTTTCTCAGTCGTGGTAAAGCTGACGTCAGACCATCTCACATCCCTGTATTGTCACCTGGCAACAGGTCAGTTTCCATAGTAACCAATTCCAATGGTTATTTTGGTTACCTTTGTAACATCAGTTTGTAAAATAACAATGGACATTTTAGGGTATACATCTATAGTCAAAAGTATTTCTTATTCTTTAATAGATTGATCTTTTGGGGTCATGTGGAAACTGTTGGAAATGATTATGGGATTCCCATTTATTGTTACTCTGATTTGAAAAAAAAATCTAATTTTCTGAACTGTCTCATATTCTCTTTATATGTCAAATTATGGCAGAGAATGAATTTAAAATGTCCATTGTCATGGTAACCATTTTAGGATTAACCCCTTTTCTTCATTTTAGATTGTTAACCCTTCTTATCCTGTTTTATGTTGTCAGGTTGTGATTTAGATCCCTGCTTTCTACTTTGGGGCCTGGGACACAAATGTTTCAACACATGCTTTAGTGTCACGCTAGTCATGTCCTTTCACGATTACATTCTGCTCATTCATTTTGAGAAATTCATCTCTTAAGGTGGCTCAGGTGTGAATTACAATAGAAGTAGATTCATAAAGGGCGGTTTGTTTTAAAAAGAAAACCATGATCCTAGTACTTTGGGAATAGTAGGCAAAAAGGTTATAGAGAACAGCATTCAACATTTTACCACTTGAGCTTCCTTAAATAACAGACATGGCCAGACAGACACTGTAAGCAATGAGAAATATGCATCTAGATTAATTATTAGAAATAGAGACGCAATAGGCTTTAATTGTATTTTGCAAATTATGAATGAATCAATGACATATTTTTTTAAATATAGATTTTTGATTTATATTGATGTTCTCACTTCAAATCTTTATGTGTCTTGTGATGTCACTTTTGTTGATTTTATGTGATTTTGAAAAAAGATTTTGTGTGTCGCATTTTCAACACACTTTGGTTTAGTGACACCGCACTAACTTTCTTTGAAGGAGCACTCATACTCACGGAGACCAGACTTTTACAGGATGGTGCTATCCCATGGGTTTGATCCAAAGGGCAGTGCTTTTAGTCGAATTTGTTGGAGTTATATTCACCCAAGCTCTTGGGTACTACATCAAACTTTCTTTTAGATTGATCAGAAATGTATTCAATATTTGGGATATATGGGTTCCACCAATGACCTTGTTGCAACATTGCCTATGTCATTTTAACCCAAACAGACCACTAATCTTTAAGATACAACGACTGTTACATCATTTCATTTCATTAATCATTGGGGAGGAGGGGGGGGTTGGCATTGATTGGATCTTGTACTCGTTGTACTTACTACATAGCACTGCATGTCTGGTGTTAGATTGAATCACATGAACACTTGGAAAAATAAATTGTAGTAATTAGACTCCAGATTGAAAATCTGGAGTCTATTGCTTTTGCCTGTTTTCTTATTCTTATTATTAGACTCCAGATTGAAAATCTGGAGTCTATTGTTTTTGCCAGTATTCTTCTTATTATTATTATTTTTCTTTGGGAGTTTTTTCAATAACTATGAGGTATCCAGTAAGGGCCATAATACAGTTCATTTAGGTTCAGTATCTAGTTGATGGGAAATTGGGTCAAATTTTTTTCTAGGTCAAAGGTCAAGAACTAGGTCAAATCCAGTACTTTGTCACTTTTTTCGATTTTCTCAGTCGTCCTTCAATATTTTTGATCCGTTTTTCTTTCATTGTGTTCCTGATAAAAAAGTAGTATTAAGAATGTCGATTTAGTTTTTTGATATCTCAAACCGATTTCGAGATATGGCGTCCAGAAAGTAGGTCACACCAAAACGTGCTCCAAATTCAATGTATGAGTTATGAATTAGGGGTAGAATTTTGTCAGGAATCCGAATCTACAAACCAAATTTCGATCCGACTTCTGGTTCAGAAGTTATGGCGTTTAGAAAACTCAAAAATCGCTAAATTTTGTGCCCATGTTAAGTCAATGGGAAAAAAGATTTTTTTGAAGTGAAAAATACGAAATATAGACTGAGTTCAGCTTAATTTAATGAAAGCCTTCAAAAGAAGGGGACCTCAAAAGCCATCTAGCTTCAGAATTTGGACACCAAAATTCCTAGGTCAAAATCTAGGTCAAATTCAAAGGTTTTCCTTATTTTTGCGATTCTGACACAACACTTCAATTATATTCTTCGAAATTGTGTATACATGTAGCCAAGAGTGTGCTAATAGTGTTAGCCTTTTGCCGTCAGAAAGTATTTTGACCCACTTTTGAGATATGGTGTCCGAAAAGTAGGTCAAAATAAAAAGTTCTCCAAATTTAACGTATGAGTTATGAATTAGGGGTAGAATTTTGTCAGGAATCCGAATCTGCAAACCAAATTTCGATCCGACTTCCGGTTCGGAAGTTATGGCGTGTCCGAAAAGTAGGTCAAAATAAAAAGTTTCCAAATTTAACATATGAGTTATGAATTAGAGGTAGAATTTCGTCAGGAATCCGAATCTGCAAACCAAATTCCTATCCGACTTCTGGTTCCGAAGTTATGGCGTGTCCAAAAAGTAGGTCAAAATAAAAATTCGCCAAATTTAATTAAGAGTTATGAATTAGAAGTAGAATTTTGTCAGGAATCCGAATCTTTAAATCAAATTTAGATCCGACTTCCGGTTCGGAAGTGATGGTGTTTTGAAATTTCAGAAAATCGATCTGATTGTATCCTGATAGAAAGTCAAGAGTAGAGAAGAAAATATTGAAAAATTCATCCATCCTTCCTATCTGATCCTATCCTATCCTATCCTTCCTATCTATCCTTCCTTCGTATCCTTTCCTTCCTATCCTCTCCTATCATATCCTTTCTTCCTATTCTGTTCTATCCTATCCTTCTTTCTTATTCTATCCTATCGTTTCTTCCCATTCTATCCTATCCTACCTTCCTATTTTATCCATCCATCTTATTCTTGATGACTCAGCTTCTTCTGGATGACTCGGCTTATTTTAGATGACTGGGCTTAAAAAAGTGTAGATCTGGAGTCTGAAATTGAACTTCGTTCAATTTCCAAAGTCTAGTTATTATTCTTCCTCTACCCACGTTTTCTCGCTAACTAGAAGAGCTTACTTTAATCTGCCTACATGGCTAACATAGCTCAGTAACCTAGTTTCTCGGAAATTAGGTCAAATTTTTATCTAGGTCAAAGGTCAAGAACTAGGTCACGTCCTACATTTTCAACATTCTGACATTTATCTTCCTACATCTTTCATCTAACTCCTTCATCTTACTTTCATCATGTAGCTTAGAAAAAGCCCTTTCATAAGTGTGCCATCAGATTTTTGATTACTCTTACCGATTTTGAGATATGGCGTCCGGAAAGTAGGTCAGAACAAAAAGTTCTCCAAATTCAACATGTGAGTTATGAAATAAGTGTAGCATGATCTCAGGAATCCGAATCTGCAAACCAAATTTGGATCGGACTTCCGGTTCGGAAGTTATGGCGTTTTGAAAGCTCAAAAATCGCTAAATTTGGTGCCTATGTTAAGTCAATGGGAAAAAAGACTTTTTCGAAGTGTAAAATACAAGATATAGACTGAGTACAGCTTAACATAATGAATGTTTATAAAAGAAGGGGACCTCAAAAGCTACATAGCTTCAAAATTTGGACACCAAAATGCCTAGGTCAAAATCTAGGTCAAATTCATGGTTTTTCCTTATTTTTACGATTCTGACACTACACTTTAATAATTTACTTCAAAATTTTGTATACAGGTAGCAAAGAGTGTGCTAATAGTGTTAGCCTTTTGCCGTCAGAAAGTATTTTGACCCACTTTTGAGATATGGTGTCCGAAAAGTAGGTCAAAATAAAAGGTTCTCCAAATTTAAAATATGAGCTATGAATTAAGGGTAGAATTTTCCCAGGAATCCGAATCTGCAAACCAAATTTCAATCCGACTTTCGGTTTGGAAGTTATGGCGTTTTGAAAGCTCAAAAATCGCTAAATTTGGTGCCCCATGTTATGTCAATGAGAAAAAAGATTTTTTGAAGTGTAAAATACCAGATATAAACTGAGTACAGCTTAACATTCTGAAAGCCTATAAAAGAAGGGGACCTTGAAGGCTATCTAGCTTTAAAATTTGGACACCAAAATGCCTAGGTCAGAATCTAGGTTAAATTCATAGTTTTTCCTTATTTTTGCGATTCTGACATTACACTTTAATGATTTGCTTCGAAATTTTGTATACATGTAGCAAAGGGTGTGCTTATAGTGTTAGCCTTCTGCCGTCAGAAAGTATTTTGACCAACTTTTGAGATATGGTGTCTGAAAAGTAGGTCAAAATAAAAAGTTCTCCAAATTTAACGTATGAGTTATGAATTAAGGGTAGAATTTTCTCAGGAATCAGAATCTTTAACCAAATTTTGATCCAACTTCTGATTAGATAGTTATAGCGGTTTGAAGTCTTGAAAAGTCGATATGATGATATCCCCATGTTATGCCAATGGAGTCGAAGATAACATTCTTAAGAATTGTCTAAATGTGTATATTCTAGCTGACTCAGCTTATTCTGAATGACTAAGCTTACAAGTATTTGGATGACTCAGCTTAAAAAAAGTCTGAAATCTGGAGTCTTAAATTGAACTTGTTCAATTTACATGTCTAGTTATTTTTCTTTCCCAGTTTTCTCGATAACCATAAGATTTCCAATAAAGATCATTATTCAGTCAATTTATGTCCAGTATCTAGTTCCTCGGAAATTGGGTCAAATTTTTATCTAGGTCAAAGGTCAAGAACTAGGTCAAATCCAGTACTTTGTCACTTTTTTCGATTTTCTCGGTCGTCCTTCAATATTTTAGATCCGGGTTTTTTTCATTGTGTTCCTTATAAAAAAGTAGGAAACCTAGGGTCGATTTAGTTTTTTGATATCTCAAACCGATTTCGAGATATCAGTGTCCGAAAACGAGGTCCAAAACAAAGTTCTCCGAATCAAATGTCCAGGATATTAGTCTTATAGGAAATTTTCTCAGGATTCCGAATCTGAAAACGAAATTTGGATCTGACTTCCAGTTCGGAAGTTATGGCGTTTTGAAAACTCAAAAATCGCTAAATTTGGTGCCCATGTTAAGTCAATGGGAAAAAATATTTTTTTGAAGTGAAAAATACGGAATATAGACTGCGTTCAGCTTCATATAATCAAAGCCTTTAAAAGAAGGGGACCTCAAAAGCCATCTAGCTTCACAATTTGGACACCGAAATGCCTAGGTCAAAATCTAGGTCAAATTCATAGGTTTTCCTTATTTTTTCGATTCTGACACTACACTTTAATTATATTCTTCGAAATTCTGTATACATGTAGCCAAGAATATGCTAATAGTGTTAGCCTTTTGCCGTCAGAAAGTATTATGACCTACTTTTGAGATATGGTGTCCGAAAAGTAGGTCAAAATAAAAAGTTCTCCAAATTGAATATATGAGTTATGAATTAAGGGTAGAATTCTGTCAGAAATCCGAATCTGCAAACCAAATTTCAATCCGACTTCCGGTTCGGAAGTTATGGCGTGTCCGAAAAGTAGGTCAAAATAAAAAATCTCCAAATTTAACGTATGAGTTATGAAATAGGGGTAGAATTTTGTCAGGAATCCAAATCTGAAAACCAAATTTCGATCTGACTTCCGGTTCGGAAGTGATAGCGTTTTGAAATTTCGAGAAAAATCGATCTGATGGTATCCTGATAGAAAGTCAAGAGTAGAGAAGAAAATATTGAAAAATTCATCCATCCTTCCTATCTCATCCTACCCTATCCTTCCTATCTATCCTTCCTTCATATCTTTTCCTTCCTATCCTATCCTATCCTTTCTTCCTATTCTATTCTATCCTATCCTTCTTTCTTATTCTATCCTATCGTTCTTTCCTATTCTATCCTATCCTACCTTCCTATTTTATTTATCCATCTCTTTCTAGATGACTCAGCTTATTCTGGATGACTCGGCTTATTCTGGATGACTCGGCTAAAAAAAAGTCTAGATCTGGAGTCTGAAATTGAACTTCGTTCAATTTCCAAAATCTAGTTATTCTAATTTTGCTTGCGTAGAATTTTAGATTTTACCAAATAGTTTATGTTAGTAGTGTACAATTCTAGCACCTAAACAGTATTTGTTGTGTTCATCGAAACATTATTAGAAATTACTCGTCAACATTATCAATATATTTTTTCATAAAGTTGTTTCATAAATCATTCTTGAAAATGTTCAGTATATTTTTATTTATTTTTCAAGATTATTTCAAAAAACAATAGATCATGAAGAATTAAATTACCACATTTGATTTTTATCATTAAATTATTTTTCACACATTGTTGTCGCTTAAATTTTCAATATCACAAAACTAGTTCACTAGCGAAATGCTTTTGGCTTCTTTGTTGATAAATGTAAATTAGTCATGAGTTTTAAGAATTTGATTTTCATTTCATAGTCCTCGAAAAAGTAATAGGACTTGTCATCAAGTCCCTGACCCCCTCTTGTACCCTCAGAAGAGTAAGGGTTTGTTAACTGAAGGACTTACCTTGTGAGTCTCTCTTCATACTTTAATTCATAATTTACTGATAATTTCAGCTTGCTTAATAAAGATGATAAAAAGTCCTCAGGAAAGTCGCAACTGCCAAAACCAACTAGTCCATCTGGTATGAGCTCATTATCGGGGCTCCCATCTTTGACATCAGGGGCTGGTGGAGGGCTTGGCTCTTTAAGGGATGCACCTCCACTTCCAGGTTTAGGAAAGTCAACAGGTACAACACGTTTTATAAAATAAGTTTACACTTGTATTAACATCTAGTAATTAAGTCTTATGTTACCAGTAGAACCTGCCTAACCAGATTGCCATTTGGACAGGCCAAAAATGATTTGTAGTGTTCCCATTTTAAGGTTTGTAAACATGGGATCTAATGGGAGATTATAAAATTTGTGATGGGAAAAAGTGTTCACATTAGAGGGTGTTCAGATGAGAGAGGTATTGGGATGTACATGTTTTACTATATACATGTTACTAAATCTATTTTGTCATTTACACAACCTTTATTTTGAAACCACAGAACGTTTAAGAGTGTGTACATGTTATTATAAGCTATTATATACATGTGCTGGCAAATGACAATGTTAAAAATTGGGGAATCTACTGAGTGCAATTCTACAAAGATTATGAGAGAGACTGAAGAGAGGGATTAGAATGATTTCAGGCATTCAGAATGCATTAGTTAAGGTTCAGCTGGAAAATAACATTTTGGGAAAAGATTGCTTTACCTGCACATGTTATTTTCTGGTACAAAACAAAGTATGAAGGCATGACTGTTAATTTCCTTGCTTTTTTCAGGAAAGTACCATTACATTGTCTTCTTTTAGTAAATCTGGTAAGAGTTCAATGGGAACTCCAGGAAATTCTGACATTTCACACTTTTATTTTTCCAAATTTTGAAGTTTCCAGACATCACAGGAGTACCACATTGACCAAGCTCTGGAGCTTATTTTCCTCCATTTTCTTTTTCAGACAATACAAATGGTAGTAAATCTCCCGATTTAGAAATCAAGGCAATAGATAAACGTATAGCAGATCTTGGATTTGGTAAGAATTTTGTTACCTTTAAAGGGTGACGCATATTGTTTAGCAAATCGAACGCTCATTTCTGGTGTTGCTCACCGTTTAGTATAAAAGGCCCGATCCCGGAATAATACTCAAGGGTTCACAGGTTCGAGGTCGTTGTGTCAACACCTCTAACTGTTATATAGCATAAGTATATTATAGATCGTCACACATTTATAAAAGGGTGATTTTTTATTTTGACAAATCAATTCCACATTTATGGGTGAAGTTTCAGGATCTTCTATTTGTGTATAATAAGGAAAAATTGGCATCTAAATTTCCCCACAACGTAATAGCACACAGCTTGGCATATGAAATATACTACAAATGAAACAAAGCAGTTCTAATACAAGGATTTATATTGGCTGTTGTACATGTATTCTTTGAACGCAATCACTCTTTGGATAACATTTTCAAAATCATTATAAACGGATTACTTTATCTCAAAGACAATTTCAATAAACTGGATTTTACAGAACTCCCCTTATTTCTTAAAAATGGACTGATCCAGTTGATTCGCCTGGAGCCGCCATATTGTTTTTATACGGGATGCTTATCGGAACCCTTTAACCACACCAGTTTTCCAATTGCCTAGTATTAGCCTATAAAAATATGTATATGACTTTGAATACAAGAAATGAGGAAAAAATTAAGCTTCCAAAAGGTGTTCACTAAATGAAGTTTGTTTTGTTTAATACACTTTATTGATCTTTGAAAATATGTGTACTTTTCTAGTATTTTTGTATTTTTTATATTTTATATGCCCTATGACTCTCTTCATTCTTCTCTGATCTAGATTTTTAATTATAAAGAGACTTGTATATTTCAGAAGTCCCAGATGACGATGATTACGAAGATGACTTCCAGAGTTCTGTTAGTGGTAAGACACTCAGTGCACGATCTGATAAGTCCAAACAATCTGATGTTGATGGAGGGAGTATAGAAGAGGACATCGAAGAGGAGATTCTGGAGGATATATCTATTGGGGATGATCTTCTCAAGAGCAGTCAGAGTGGGGTGAGAATTTTCAGGGGACCATTTTGTAACTGATTTATTTTTGAAGTCTCCAATTCCTATATACCATACAGAATTGGGGATGATAGTGTAGCCAAAATCAAACAGCCATGCCTTTGATTTTGAGTTTGTCCAGACCATTGGTACAGTTGTGTCTTTTAAGTTCTGAATTTGTTTGCACTATTCCATGGGCCCCTTTTCAGAGGATAAATTTTAAAATGTTAGAATTTTACATTTGGAATATTTCAGAAACATCAATAGAAAATTTCTGATGTGGCATAATCTTGTATTATACAGTTAACCTGTGCAAGTGAAACACTTGTTTCCATTAAAGAGTTCCACTTGGGAGAAGTTCTAGTTTTAAAGGTTTGATAATCATTAATCAATGAGACACTACACTAAAAAACTGTTCCACTTACAAAACTGTTCCACTTACAAAACTGTTCCACTTACAAAAGTGTTCCACTTATAGAGGTGATCCACTTTACAGGTTTTTTCTGTTTCTTAAATATCAATAAGGAATAAACAGGAAATTACAAAAAAAATTCCTGATAGTCTTCATGGTGAATTATTCCTTTTCAGTTTGATGATTTAACCACTGACAGAACAATATCTCAGGCTAGCATAGGGTTCGATTACATGGAGGAAATCAAAACATAAAGAACTGACACTTTGATGCGATGACACAATGCTCACATTTTCCAATGTGATGACACACCAAGTAGACACATCGAGACTGTAGCACAATGTTTTAGATCTCATGAAAATGTCCATGTGGTGACACCTTGAGATTGCAAGATACTTTGAAGTGATGACATAATGCCAAGTCACATTGTTGGAAATGCTTCGAGCCATCAATTTGGGGTAACCAATTTTTGCTTCAATAGTTAAGAATTTTCCAGGACATTTAGAAGATCTAACTGCCAATATCATGAATTTGTTAAAATTATTCATTATATGAATAAAAGATGGCAGCACACATTATAGACATTGGTGTCTCCATTTTTGAACAATAGTAGTTAAGTATTTTCAGGACATTCTATTTGGAAGATCTAGCTGCTAATATCATGAATTTGTTAAAATTATTTATTGTATGAATAAAAGATGGCAGCACGTATCATGGACATTGAATGTTGTCTCCATCTTTTGAACAATATTTTAGTTGTACGGGAAGTCTTATTTCATGATATTAATTGTGAAATATTTGTATATTTTGTATAGAACATAAATGTACTTCAAAATAAATGATATTATTGTGTGAAACTATTGGCCATTTTGAGTTCATAAGAGATTTTAAAAATGGAGGGAATGTGTACAAGATTAGCCATACTTGACATTCTCTTTAGGCCTGTAAATATTGCAAAGGGGGGGGGGTAGTCTTTAATTTAGACTATTTTTGCCCAAAATCACTTGAAAAGTGCTCAAAATGGTGAAAAACTGCATGGTTTTGAAAGAATTTGTGTTTTGAATTAAATCATTCTCTTCCTGGTATGAATAATTTCAAAAAGTCCAAAATGACGTTGTATGAACTGATTTTTTTATTTAATCTCTAGTAACATATTACATATATAGTTAACATTAGTGACAAGATATACATATATAGATCTCTCCCTAGCTATGTACACTATTTGTATACAGTCCAAATATACAGATAATTCTAATATTAAGCATATATACTTTTATATATGATTTAAAATTCCAAAATGTCTGATTTACATCTTATTTAGCTTATATTCAAAAACTCTTTTCCTACTTTACTGTACTCTGAAATTTAAACTCGCCAATCCTCTTCAGATGCATCATTTTCAAACTTAGCTAAGATGAACATTCTGCCAGTAAATGTGTGACTGTTCATGTTTAAAAATGGGGGAAGAGTTGATCTTATACCATAAAACCTGTCTAATTTGAACACCATTGGTACCTCTAAAAGTGTTCCACTCGGGAGGTGTTCCAATTATAGAGGTTCATTGTGCTTCACTTCACATACTTGTATCAGTTATTTTTCCATACATTTTTATGTGATTGTTTTAATTATCACATTGATCTTTCTTTTAATCTCTACAATATTGCACTCAGTTCCTTCATTATAAATGTACGTCTGCTTTTAAGTTCTTTCCATACATACAAATATCATTCAATTTCTCTCTAAAATTTGAATAAAGTGTTTGATTTTCTTGCATAATTATACAATTTAGAATATTCATTCCATGTCTGTTTATTTTATTCCTTGTTAATTCCACTCTTTTCCCACTTATTTTGCACATTCAATTTTGATTTATCTACTAGTTTCTTACTTTCTAATAGTGCCCCATATGTAGACAGATACCTCTCTTATTTCTATATTTATCTTCCTTTAGGCATATTACCATATCATAAGCCAATATTCCTATACATGGTTTTCTTCAAGTGTTGAATGAGTCATATATGTGTTGAAATCAGGGACATGAATTTCATATTATTTCCAAACTGTATTTGGTAGGAATGTACAATATGGTCACTGTGTGTCAATTGAATTTCATTGTGCATTTATGAATTTGTGAATTTTTACTAAATGCTTGTGTAAAAATAAGCAATGCGGCAACACAAAATGAACTGCTCAAGTAAACAGAAATAAATGATTGTCATTTGAATAAAATAAATTGCTATACATGTACACTGTAAAATAATTTAAACTACATTTTGTTATATAAAACAAGCTCACGTACCCTAATTGCTTTTTTACTCTTTCGGCAAAAGAATAATTTGCTTCAAGACTTGTAAATAGGTAAAACTAACTAAAAGAAAATACATCTCTTCTAATGTTACACCTACTTTAAATACTATAATGTATCTGTACAATCAAATGTATACATGAATGTCAATAACTAAAATTATGTGAATATCTATTACTGGTATAAGTCACCATTGTAGACATATTGTATTTAAACTTATGGCAAGCCTCTGCATGTGACACTAATATTAAAGCGGGAATCTTCCCACAATAAATACATAATATGGTAGGAAACATTAATATATAAAATTGCTTAGAATGTTTGTTAACCTCTAAAAGTAACATTTTATTGACGACTTACACGTTGAGTTAATGTTAAAAAGTAATGTACAAAACCCATTGGAATGACACTGTTTAATATCTCTAGCGTATGCAATTGTAAAAGATAAATGACTTCTTCAAGTCACAAAAATCGGATTCGAGTTTGACGATGCTGGTTATCTATAAATCACTGTAAATAAGATATTGCACACTGAATTTGAAGCCATATTTTCTACAAGGAATGATTCGTTAACATATTTTAAATACAAAATGGTATAATACAGTATTGTCATTTCAAAAATATTTGGAATAGTTAGTGTTATGGAGATTCTGACTTTTCTGGAATGTGCCCTTGTGTAGGAAGTATCCGCATCTTTTTAACTCTCAACAGCCCGAGGATGAGATAATTCCAAACTTGTGTGAAAATCCAGGCTGCCAAGAGTTAATGTTCATATACTGAATAAAATATGGTACTTCAATTGCAGAACAAAATATATAGCCCTTCAGTTTAGAACGCCATTATTCATTTGTGATTTTCCTGTTTTGTTTTAAGGTTTTGTTCATATGTAATGTTTGTTCAAGATGGCAAATTAAATCATTGTTCATTTTTCATTATGGCAGTTAAGTACAAAATGACAGACTGGTTCAATTGCCAACTTTCTGAATCCTCTCGGAATCATTCCTCCACATATGTTATTACAATGATATTCGAGATGGCGGTAGGATTGATCAACCAGTCAAGAGTGTATGTGTCATCTCTGAGAAAGACAATAAAGGGTTGGAGTCTATGCCGTGTCCACGTTCACCAGCCTTCATAATAGAATTCTGAAATAATATTAAAAACAAATTATAAATAAAACAAATTACTTGACAGGATATGGCAGATCAGAAAGTAATTACAAAATTTAAGGCATTGTGAAAATGTACAACTTGTATTTTTTGATTATTTATTCTTACCTTATATGTGTCTGCAGCTGCCTGCCAACTGATGGATTCTGGGGTGTGTTGTGCTGTCAAGTGTAGGTTGCCATGGAGACTCATAGGTGTCTTAACAACAGGCACTGCAATGCCACCTAGTGACTGTTTTTGATGCAACCTGAAAATGTGATAAATTCTTAATTAAGCATTTTATTTTTTAGGATTGACTAAAGGAGGTGGAATCAGCAATGATTTTTATTTTCCTAAGAAAAATATTTTCCTAAAAAACATTGATGTCATGGCCCAAAATGAAACCTTATTAGATCAAGAAATATCTGAATTATTTTGCGTGAATTACCTGCTGGTTTGTTGGATGACTGAGGTGGCAGTTGTGGCTGAAGAGGGGCTGGAGCTGTTATTTGTAACTGCCGAATTCAATGCAATTACTCCATTATTCTCCTTGTTAGGACTGTTCATTTTATGAGCCTCACTCCCTGTTATATGCACAGGAGAGGGTGTGTTTGTGTTTTGATGTGGGCTGGAACTCATACTGTTATAAGCTGACATTTTACTACAGGATGTCCAAGTGGATCCATTACACTGTGTTGAAGGGGTCTCCACAATGGCGGTTTGGGCATAGGACGGCAGAATTGTATTGTTATTGTTTGTGACACTGTTTTTATAATATTCACTGGCACTCCTGATGACGGATGTTTGCCCATGCGGCACTGATGTTTTAGTAATCTCTTCTACACCTCCAGCCTCGCTGGCAATGGGCATAATCTTAGAGTCTATGTCTGAATGGAATTTTTCAACGATACTGGCTTCAGTTCGATAGATACTTGCTGTTGGGATTTGGACCCCTTGTAATCTGTCTGAACTGTTCAAATATGCGGAACTACTTGGATATATGGAACCTCCTTTCAAAGTGTCATATGTAGAGTTTTTTAAGCTATCGTAATTTGAGCCCTTCAAAGTGTCATAACTTGAGCCCTTCAATGTGTCATAACTGTTTGCCTTTAGCGAGTCATATGCTGTTGACTTGAGTGAATCATATGATCCATTTACCCTGTGTGTTAACTTTTCGCTTGTCGCATAATCTTGACTATATTTACGATATTCAGAGTCATATTTTGATATATCATCATCATAAGCTGAACCACGCTTAGCTAGATCTAACCCATACCCTGTTACATCATATCCATATTTGGACATATCGTAGCTATATTTTGCGGCCATTACATTCACGTCTGAATAGCCATTGGTTGGATATTGAAGACTGCTGGGATACGAAGAATAGTAGCTATTGGCATAATGCTGTTTTTCTCCTTCAAGTCGGTATGGGTCAGTGGCGGCAGTTGGATATAACGTTGGCGGGAATGTAGTATACCCACGGTAGAAATCAGCAGAGTCTATCCCAATGTTATTATTTGGAGTGGCATAGGGGTACATGACTTCTGCTTTAACTTCTGAGCCAGGGTATCCAGGATAGGTGGAGCCATATGCAGCAATGCTCCCATTTACTTCACGATATGGGCTCTTCCGTTTACGACCAGTTTGAAGATAATCACGTAGTTGGTTTTTCGGTTTCTTAGCGGGTTTTGGTGCCTTTTTACTATACTCTTCATTGTCACTGTCCATCCCAAAGCCACTTGTGTCCATGTCTAGCAGGGGGTAGGGGAGCTTGAATTCATTCCCGCGCTTTCCTATGAGATCCATTCCTTCATCTTCACTGTAAACACATACACATTCATTGATTCAGGTACATTTTACTAGGATATAATATATAAAACACCAATTTATATAGATATAGAGCAGCTTGCAATACATACATGTGTGAGTAGTTTTAGTAGAACTTAATCAGGGACAGTGTGCTTCTCCAGTTTGTACACAATTGTATTTTCTTATTTTTTTATATTCAGTTGTGAATTTGTTGATTTTTACATGGATGTTCCAAGCATATTTTATGGGACATCATTATTTAAACTTACGTTAGATGTCTGTGTGTACAGAGCACAAATTCTGGCTTGCTGTTCTTATATATCACTTTAGCGCTTGTTTGGAGCCAAATCCACTGGAAATCTTTTGTGATGAACCGATAGCAGATCAACCCTGAACTTCCTGTTTTGATCACTATAATAAAAAAGATTTTTTATTTTTTTATTTATTTTTATTTTTTATTATTATTATTTTCAAAATCAAAACATATTTACATATACATTTAATCAAGAATACAAAAGTTAAGGTGTGATAATAAAAAAAGATGAAATGTATAATTTTGTTTCTTATTGGGTAAGGTGTAACATACAATTTTGTTAACAGGATTCTTATTGGTTATCAATTTCACGTAGTTGGTTCTTTGATTGGTTAATTCTAGGTTAATTTTATGTAGTCAGCTAGTTTCACTTTTGCAACCATACTGAGTCTCCATATGCTTTTTAAATATATAAAATGCATCAAACCAGGAATAGTTTGATGAGTGTCATGTATGAATTTTGTAATCTCATTTATGATTGGATAAGTTATATTCATATGTATGTTAAACCGTTGCTGGTTGGTTAATATGAGAGGAATGGTTTCAATGAAGCATGACAAGAGTGAGAATTAAATCTTATTTTTCAAAAACATTGTGAATTATGATTCCTGAAAATAAGTAGTTGCTCGTGTTATTGCCTTAGTAGCCACAATATTGTCATAGTAGCCACAATGTTGTCATAGTAACATCATGAAAACACTTGAAAGTCAAGATTGTATTTTTCGAGAAATGGGCTTTATGATACTTACGTTCTTGATGAGCTGCTGCAAAGTAGTTCAGGTCATCAGGATGTATGAGGTCATAGCCACCTTTTGCAGACAGCTCCTTATCGGAATATCCAAACAGCATCTTTCCCCTGTGAAATAGGGAACAGTTTAGTATTGTTATAGACTTCAAATATTGTATTGTATTGTATTATGTAGAGTATATTTGACATATAGGGAACAGTTTAGTATTGTTATAGACTTCAAATATTGTATTGTATTGTATTATGTAGAGTATATTTGACATATTTCAGAATGTGTGCTTTTTGTGTGATTTTTGCCAGATTCATTTCAATTAATGAAAATTCTGCTATTACTAGCAGGAGCTATAGAATATTGAATATGAATTGTATTTTCTCAATTGTAGGTCAAGAACATATAAAAAGACTTGAAATCTGAATCCTAATTCAATTATTCTTTTCTGGTAGGACTCTTGAGGAAATTAAAACTCTCCACTTAACAGTAATAAAGTTCTGTACCTGTGGTCCATACTGATGGGAGCAAGGTCCATCTTGTGCTTTGTCTTGAATGTGTAGTCTCTGGGTGATGTATCTAAGAGGGGGAGGGGGCCAAATGGGCAACACGTCGCAAACAGCGCCAGGGGTGGTTCTTCATTATCACATTTCAGATTCTGTCCATGGAGCATTCGGATCTTACCAGAGATTTCTAGTGTCTATAAAGAAAAATATATTTTTTCATTTAATTTTTACTAATCAAAAAGGTTTTTATCCTGGCAAATGTTATAGTTTATAAACATAAATATACAATCACTGAATGGTGGATTTGTATTGATTTGGAAAGTTCAAGAAATATGTTCAAAGTAAGCCAAGGAAGCTAATTACAATGATTTTCAAGTAATATATAACAAGTAACATGTATGACATCATAGGTTTTTTAAAGTAATGGTAATATAAATCATCCTTATGACAAGTACATGAAAATGATGAAAGATTTTATTATGTTCGACAATTATATCAAAACTAATGAAAGTATAATCAACTTACGATAAAACCGGATGTGTTATCAAGCAAACAACGGAACCTTACTGTGAAAGATCGCTGGAGAAGATGATGATTTTCTGAAAATATAAAAACAATTTTCTGTAATTATTAAATATTTTAATTTCGACTTAAAAGCACATTGTAAGAACATAAACATATAGTTGACCACATATTATAGCTTTGCTCATAAATCCATAATATTGAGGGTAGATTCTTGATTAAAAACGATAATTAAGTTTTTATTAGATTTTTTGACACGCATAATGAATATGATTCTAATCACAATCTACTCATATAATATGCACTATGCCGATTGACATGCAGTCTCAACAATTAAGTAAGTAACAAAACCCATTTGCAGAATTTGCTGTGGAAAGGTATCTTTCTTAAAAAGTAGTTGATTTATTTGCGGTATCATTAGCATGTAAAACAATGTTCTCCTTGATACTATATGATGTCTACAGACTGATTTGATTTCTCTGTATTTAATAGATAATCTTTCTTTTTGGTATTGATATTATCTGTGAGAATTAGATGGACATTACATTATACCCGGACACAAAAATTAATCAAGCAAGCATATTTTTTGTGGTTCTGAGCATTAATGAAAATGTCATATTAGTCCATTTTGATTATTATCTAAAATGAACTTTAACATTATATGTAATTTGTGCTATTATAAATGATGAATTCTCTATTAACAGGTATGTCCCAGTGGAGGTCTGCAATACCACATCTTTGCTCCCTGTTGCATCATGGGATCAGATTCACCTCCCTCCCATGATTGTGGTAATTGTATAAAATCTTTTGGTGGATAACTTAATCAGTATATCTTTTTTTATATAACTTTGATTGATTTTTTGTCTTGTCAAAAAACTTAAAACAAACATTTTGATTACATGTATCATAGATTCTGTATTATGAATACAGTTTGACGAAGTTAGATTCTAGAAAGATGAAATTTAAAATTTCATAAACTGCTTGATTAGTTTGAAATCTACCAAGATTGCTCTTTTAGTCTCACCTGGCATCATAACTTGTTGTAGGGTCATGTCCTGCTTGCTCTGAGGAAGTTGAGATCGCCAGTTAAGCTGATTCTGAAAATCATCGCGATCTTCTGAGTGAATCAACTCTAAGGCACTCTGATGTAGAATATCCGACTGAAAGTTTAAAAAACATGTATAATTACTCATTTAATTAATAAAACCCAGCCATGAAAATCAGATTGATACAGTTTGAAAAATCACCAATATTCTAAAAGGAAAAGTTTGATTAGACTAAGCAACATTGATTAAGCCATTTTATGTTTGAAGTGATAACTCAAAAACGATGCAGCAAATTCTTATGAATGGAACCAAATATTTAGAAAGATTAGTCTACTGGGTAGTCCAAAATGATTTTTGTATATAAGTCAAGCACATTTTGAACATGTAAAATTTCTTTTATTGGAAGCTCATTTTTCAGAGGTTAACATTTCTGAAATCTGTTCACAGATTTTAAGCCAACGTCTATGTGGTTGTTACCCGTATACTATGCAAAATAATCACTTTTATTTAAAATCGGTATCTATTAAAAATATGCATTTTTCAAAACTTTCAATATTTTTGCCTTGTTATTTCATACACATGTATGTTAAAATTTTATTTTAAAAATGTCATAGTTAAAAATCTGACATTAAGTAGCAAAGGTCAAAGCTTTTTTAATTCTTTTGAAATCATTCCTTTTAGGTTTTTAAGAACTTTTTTGGGGTGAAAAGATTGCTAGATATGCCTAAAAGATGTTGAGATGTGTTATAAAGAATATGCAGGGCTAATTGATAGGTTTAGTATATGAGCGAAAAGTAAATAATGGGTGGTTTAATTGTATTGAAACATCAGATATCCTTCGACATTCTCCATTCACCTGTCTTTTTGGCTAATTGTAGTTCTTTCAATTTTGGTTCACTCTGCAAGGTTAGTTAGTGATTTATATTTTCAGTTTGAATATGGCATTGGACCATTTGTAAACATAGAAATCATTTAAAATTGATTTGGTTTGAATATAAGGTGTATATATAAAGTGCACTGTGGTAGGATATTCTGAGCATCAGGATATGTAGTAAACATTTGTTTATTCCATCTGGTTTTGCATTTATATGGTTTACAGGGATTGGGCTTGTTTGTGTAATGTTGCCCCTTGTGCTTTCTCATTAAAATATGTTTTCTCTGTTATTCCTTGAAATATGTAAATACATTTATTTGTTATAGATGTTACTTGTCTATTTGCACTACTGGTATATTTGTTGTTGGTTTCTTGGTTCAGGTGTAGTCTAAAGGGGAACTCTTTGTTTAATGTTTAATAACTAACGACTATGAATATATGCCAGACTAGACTCACACTCAGACATCAGTATTGTTAATAATACAATTTCTATAACATTCAGTATATATTATTGAATAGTATCATTTAAAAGTATTATTGTGGTTTCTTTTGTCACATATGACACAAATCTAGAAAAATCTAAATGAAATATGTAAATTAGTTGAGTCAACTTTAGAGATTTTTTAAAATGAATAGGATTGGCTGAATATCAATATGGACAAAATGAGTTTTAAGGAGGTATCATTTGAAACAATAACCCAGATGCGAGTAGAAATAATCTTGATTTACGTCATTAAAAATTCAAAATTCAGTCAAAGTAATATCATATTTGAAATATACATGTAAAATTACATCTGGAAATGTGGTTTTAAAAAGTGTTTATCAACTTTGAAAAATTAATTTTCTTTGAAAATGTGACTTCTAGCTCGGGGAGATTCCCCATAGACCCCATGCTATAAAATCACAAAAAATGAAATATCTTTTCTTTTAGTGGACAGATAATATTTTGCTTTACTGGACATATTTTCATTAGTATAAGTATCAGGCACATAAGGCTTATATGAAAATTGAGCCACTTAAATTGATAATATTCAAGTTTAAGGGAACTATCTTATATACCTGCCATGTTAATTGACCCGAATCAGCCACCTGGTGGTGAAACTGGTAACTACCTACTCGCATTTGGGTAATTGTAAAGAGTAAAATGCTATACATGGTCCTAATATGGAAAATGTACCTAATAAGGAAGTTATCTGTTCGAGTGAGCAGTGACATTATCGAGGAATTTGGAAAATATTTCACAGTTTAGTGTAATCATGGGGATTACATCTAGGTAAAATATATTTGCTTTCATTTTTTACGGAATTCATGATTCAAAAATGTTGTTGACAGAAAACACAAAACACGACAACTAAATAATTGTTTATATTAGTCAAATAAACAGATATAAAGCTCCCAATATTGAGAGAAAAGTCAGAGAATCTTAAACTGTTAAACTGTTTCTTCTGTAATATTAAACTTCTTTTTGCAAGTTGAGATAAAATGTAAATAATGGGGAAGTGTAACTAGTTGAATTAAGTAAATGAAAATACAATGAATTCCCGATTCCTGAGACTGTTAACTTTATCGTGGTTCCACAACGAAGGTTTGACATCTCCATACATGGCAATTGCATGCCAATTTACCATTCACATTCGTCTTACACCTATTTACCTTCATAAAAAACAACGGAATCTTTCATTAAATTACTGAGCGGAGCTGGGGAATTAAAAGTCAATATATGATCTTCTGAAAGTCTCCAGTGTTAATTCCCAAAGGCGGCTGCCCATGGTTGAAAGTTAACAACGAATGGTCATTTTTTCAAATGAGAAATTATATGGAAAATGGTGGGATTATCATGGAAAATGGGAAACCTGTGTGATATTAACACTAATGTTATTGGAATATGACACAATCTGGCAGATCATTCTTTTTTGAGATAAAATAAGGAAGATGTCAGATGAAAAGTGACACTAAAACCAAGTCGGGTAATCACTCCAAAATAACATACTCCCTTCTTATATTTATGGTTCATCCTCGGAATTGATTAATTTCCTTAAATGTTTAATAAATCGCTGTAAAGAGTTTCAAGGTATTATTCGGTAAATTGGTCAATAAGTATGAAACTGCGAGAGTTTAATAGGCTTATCTGAGCTTATTTTAGAATAATCATTGCAAATGGTAAATGTATGAGTTGATTCTCGCGGTGAGGCGTAATCAATGATTGGACTCCATGTATGTCGTAAAAGGATTGTTTCCTTGAATAGAACTTAGAAGTAATTTTCTAAAAATGAAGTAATTACAATTAAAATGTCACGTTGAATTAATTGTACATGTTACGGGAAGAGCAATTGCATGTTGAGGCGAAACTAGAGTTACTACTACATGTTTGTTGGCGTTACGCCTCTTACATTTTTGAGGTAATCGACGATCATTCAGTTCTGACAACATTGTGATTCCTACTTTTTTGTCTCGGTTTTACCCTGCAGATTCTGACTGGCTCCAACCTTGGAAATGTTGTTGTTCTTTATGGTGTAAATGTAAAAATTTTTGATTGCTTATTTTTACTTGATTTCCAAGGGGCCTGTCTTACCACTTGAATAGATTGAGGGGTGAAGACCCCATGTCAAAAGTCAGAAACAATTTCATCTTCAGTTTCAAAATATGCGGGTTTGTTGTAAGAGATAATATTAATGCCCTGTTAATTTTTATAATGAGATTAATTGGATGTTTTAAAACAGCTCATAGCCATTCAATGCACTTCTGGTTCAAGGAGAAACAATTTGAGGTTAGTGCGAAACAAAAAACTCAAAGAGGTGTCAAAATTAACTGGTGAAATTAGGCATGTATAGCACTTTTAATTTCTAATAATTTCACACGTTGTTTTATGTCGAAATCGGTTGGCGAAAGTGAGTAAATTATCACGCTGTAATAATTAACGGACTAACTGCAGACTGACTAAACCCTTGCATCTATCACATCTATTTAATAAGCATTTCTCTAAAACAATACCCGATGAATTTTTGAACATCTTCAATATGATCTGTATTTTAATTTCTCCAATGTTTTAACTATTCCTTGTCAATTTCTTGCATTTATGAACTTGGGTAAAAAATAACCCCATTATAAAGGTGGTCCTTCACATCTGCTAGCTTTGTTAGAAAAACATTTGGTGAAGGTGCCATATAGATGTCCCGTTTTCATAATTATACCATAGAGATTTAGAAGCAACCTTAATTAATTAGTTAATTAATAGTGTACCTGGTTAATTACATCCTAACGAGCAATATATGAAGATTTTATTGATAATTTTTTTCCCGAAAAAATGAATGAAATTTTGTGATTATTTGCAAGCTGTCATGAAGAGCAGTCTCGGAGCATGTAAAATAATTATGTGGTTTGTCATACTTGAAATGGAAGAAAAGTGAAAGCGATTTAGCAATTTAGAACATATGTCAACCAGTAAAGCTTATAATGATGATCCGACTTTACAAATAACCCTTCTTAATTATTCCATCATTACTCATCATTAAATCTTCATGTTTTCTCTAAAATATTTATATTAATTCTGATTTTGTTGGATCCTATAAAATGGGGATTTTAGGTAACATGTTTAGTTAATGTTGTTTTGTTTGGTTTTCTCTCATATTGTTTGATTTTTGGTCGCTAGGAGACATGTCCGCAATAACATTATTCAAGGACTAATTGATGTTTAATTGATAATGAATAGAGCTTAACATTCACGACAGGCTATTTCTTATTCCACTCAATTTCTCTCTAAAATCTGTATAAACCGCCTGACTTTTGGGCATTTTTATGAAATTAACTGTAATACACAAAATCTCTTTTTAAATTGTTCCTTGCTTATTTCACTCTTTGTGTCATTATTTCATGTTTCAAAACATGCCAATCATGAAATTTCATCTTTGGGATTGGCTTACTTCTGTTGTCATAAGGATAATTTAATCCTAATAATTCATGATGTTTTTAAACAACTGGATATGAGGATAAATACCTACTGCTGAAATGACATGATGGTGGTGTTTAGAATGCAAAATAGAGTGAAAAAGAGTGGAATCAGCAAGAAATAAAGTAAACAGGCATGTAGTTAACACTCTTAATTGTTGAAAAATGTCAGAAAATGTTGTTGTTTATTCAAATTTTAGAGAGAAATGTTGTAAAATGAACATGATCAAGGTACAGCTTGAAGCAGACGGATATTGATCTTTTCATACTTTTGTTAATGAGTTGATAAATATAGAATAGATAATAAAAGTCAACGAGCATGCAAATTTGTCAATATTTAGTTTTCCTATTATACTTTCCTATATTAAGTGTACATGAGTGTAAACATATTGATAAATGGGCTTTTTGAATTTCTATTTGGGTAATTTGGTTTTTTTGTATACCATGAAATCATAATCCCAGGAGAAAATGACACATTCTGTTAAACCAGTGTATTCCTCCAGTCATACAGGTATATTAATGGCATCCAAATTAAAAAAAATTTATGCTAAATATTATACTGCACAATTTGAGTTCATTGGTTCATATGGCTTCTTGGGGTTATTTATAGTTGTTGATTTCAAATCTTGCATCTTGTGTGTCATTTAAATTATGAGTAAAAATAACTGAAAATATGTAAAAGTGTTTTTATTGAGAATTGTTCACATTTAAGAGCTTGTGTTAAGAGCATGGGAGTCAATGGGGCATTTAAACCATCAAATGAGTCAAATGAGTTCATAGTGGAGAGGGATGCACTTGTACAATTTTACAGCTACTTACTTGGTGAAATCCTAGATACTGTTCTACAGTCCTTGAGGCAAAGAAAACCTCACCATCACAATTGACAATCGTCATGAAACCATTGAGAGCCTGGAATGAGAGGAACATAATGTTATGTTATGACTACTGTTATTTCTAGCTGATTCCTCATTGTCTTGATTTGGAAACATCTTGACAATTCAAGTTGAGCTCCAGATATAAAACACTTATTTACTTTCGTTATATAAAAATATAAATTTATTCTTTGCACCATATGGATATCTTAACGGTAGTTTAAAAACAGATGATTTGAAAAGTAAAGAGATTTTGATCACTATGCATGGCCTGTTTTTTTTGTCAAGAATTGTCACACTCGAGTGGGATCAAAAGTGTTTATGGACTTTTCTTTGTTGATCCAGGCCTCACTCTATTGATACCCATGTTATGATTTAAGATTTAGATTTATAAAAAATTCCCAGGATTTTAAGGTTAGAATTTTGTTGTTTAATTCGTCTTTTCAGGACAGTGAGAAACTTTTATTGGGAGTTGTATTCTGGTCATGGTTATCTATAGTTCACTGATTTCTCGTTACATTTTCTCTGTTCAATTTTTTTCTTTGGGGTATAAACAGTCATAAAAGCATTTTCTGCTTCAGTTTTTTCCTTTTAAGAATTGAAATCTATTTTAAAAGATTAGAAAAATCACAAAAACTCATTAAATAAAAGTCTAGCCTTTGGGTTCAATTTAAGAAATGATTGAATTTGAAGTTACCATTCGAAAGACTTTTCTAAAAATGTTAAGTCAAATAAACAATCAGGAGTTGGCTATAGTTCGAGGGCTGTTAGAATTATATTGAAAACAAACCCAGAAAAAATGAAATATCTGTTGTTGTTTTTTCTAGCCATGTTTTGATTTTTCGGGATGTCAGAAGTTTGGTGAACTGTAACAGAATAATTAGAGTCCAAAATATGGCCATAATTGAAAAAGTAGATTTCAAGAGAGATATCATTTAAACAAGATGTCATAAATCGTTATTTCATTGGTAGAATTTAAAATCTGGTTTTAATTGATTTTTTATCTGCTAAAACTATCAAAGGCAGACAAATTCTTTTGATAAGGGCTAATTATTTATTTTTTTCAGAATCATTGGCTTGTTCAGCTAAACTAACAAAATACTGATTTTTTTCAAAAGCGACTTCAGTTTTTGACAAAGCCATGCTGTGATTGAGCAATTTCACTTTTATTTTTAAATTGTTTAATTTATTTAATATGGATTCATCGTAATTTCAATCAGATTTGAACTGAGCCGGAAACAACTTTGGAAAATTGCAAAAATGAACATGCTGGGTTTGTGAAACCTTAGCTTTTTATGGTGTTAATACAAACCAAAGCCATTGTTATCATGCTTATTGAAGTCACTTTAATAATGAAACAATATCACTCTATTTGTTTAAAATTAATAAAAAGTAAACAGAAATGTCAGATTCACTTGAACGATTTTTAATTTCTCGATAAAAAACACTAGAAAAACAGAATTAAGCCGAGAGAAACAATGGTCAGAAACCTATACTGAAATTGTATCTTTATAACAAGCGTCCTGTGCTGAGATTTTCAATTTCTCTATTTAGTAGCTGGCATATAGTGCATATCCAATGGTGTTTAATGGAAAGATCACACTGGAAAATCAACTCATTAAAGGTGACTAACCTGTGTTATAAAGATCATTCAGGTCATCTTTATTCCAGTTTATTCCTCCGTGAATTTCAATAAAATCACACATATTCTTGCATTTATACCATTTTGAATCCTGATTTCAAGCGTGTTTGCCCCTAATTCTCCTAATTTCTGTTTATTTCTCTCGATTTCATGTTTTATTTATACAACCATGGTCATAATTTATATTTGGGTAAATTGTGGCTCTCAGTCTGAGCAGATTGTAACATCAGATTGAATTAATCAAGAATGACTTTTATTTCAAGATTTTATCGCACAAACTGTTTCTGAAATTCTGAAAATACTGGCCACTGTATGAATTGAAAAAGACTGCATCAAGCTGCCAGACAGTTCCAACCTGCCTGTTCTCAAAGGAAATTGCATCATGTAATAGAAAAATACCTTTAATAATTCAAACTGTCATAATATCAATTTTTATAATTTTATGCTATAAAAATAAGGGTTATTTCAACTATTTTGAAATAAAAATTAAATGCAACAATTTAAACTTTTGAAAAGCAGCTGGTGAAGTAATCTTTTGATCAGCCTGGCTCCTTGGAATAAAACACACAATAGTCATGCCGCAAAATGCAAAATAACTGACAAAATAGGGAAAATGCAAAAATCATACTATGCAGGTATATAGTCTACATTCTAAATAAAATCGAAATAGCAAAAAATAAAAATGATTATTTCATTTGTGAGAGAATTTTCTAAGATAAACATTGACAATGTGAAATTGTAAATGTAAGCTCAGATCTGGATCTAGTATTTAAACCCCATATTTAGCTTGTTCATTAAGAACAATTGGTTTACAAATAATAGCCCACTGACAATTGAGTCTTGAAAATAATTAAAACCACTGAACCCATAACTCTACCATAGGGTTGAAACAATATTTGTATATCTCAAAATCCAGAGTACAATATTTTTGTTGTTGATGTATATTGGCCTGAGTAATTAATATCTTAAGGATTTTTTATCAATGATGGGTGGATGAGGGTGGATATTGTTTTCTTATAGTTTTCTGGAAGGATTTGCTTTCCTTGCCAAATTAGACATTTAGCTGAAGAGACATTGAATTAGAATACAAACATTTGAAAATATGATGCTTTAAGAGCATTGTGCCCTTAAAATGTTATTTTAAGAAATATTATTTTAAGATAATGCATTTATAGATGAAATGGTTTCGAACAGATTTAAAATAATGCTCTGAGTCATCTTATCATTCCTTTTTATTATCATAATTTACTTGTTAATCACCTAGGTAACAAAAACAAATTGTTTGATCTAAATTGAAAATTATTTTATATGTAGTTTTAAATAATGCTATTAACACTTAAGGAAACAACACCATATTGCTCCAAGGTGGTGAGGTGTCAAGAACTATAAAAATTCATCGAGCTATTATTCCTGGCAGAATTTTTATTAGAGTTCCACCTTCATCTTTTCGCACAATCCTGCTCAAAAATTCTCACTGATTTGAACATCATTCCTCAAAGTTTTAGACTAAAAATTGAATGAAGTGTCTGACTTTTTGCATTTCGTTACAATTTTGAATGTTTCCTATATGCCTATGTATTTTATTTCTCGATAATGCCTTGCTTATTACTGTGTTTTGCATTTTAAAGCAAGCCCGTTGTCACATTTTTTCTCCAGGATTGTATCATCCCATTATTTTATTGCGAATCAATGGAAAGTCCTGGGTAAGATAATGGAAAAATATTTAAAAGAAACTTAAAAAGTTGTAAAACTTGCATGTGTGAGGTCAGAGACAGTTGTAAATAGATGATAAAATATTTATTTCTTCTTTGCTGGCTAAGATTACACTTGGGATGTCGTAAACCATATGCTTATTAGGAACCTTTTTAAGGATGGGGGTTATTTTAACCAAATTTCTCAGAGGGATTTTTAATAAGCATTTTGCCTGTCCTTTTAGTGTCCCTAAAGTATTTACTGAAAAAGCCTTGTAATGTGTCAATGTTTCTGCAATGTGTCTCTTAATATATTGCAATGCATCTTACCTGTAGCACTGTGTCTGTGTCAGTGAAAGCAGAGTCTGGGTAAAGGTGGCCATGTGTCCCCAGGCGACCATCAAGTGTGTATCGGTCATGAAGACAAGCTGAAAGCAAAGATTATATCATCATATCATAAAATTCTATGTGAGGTATTTTACATCTCCAAAAACGTTTAACACCAGTTTGTATAGTATTATCAAACGATTTTTTGCTAGTGAATAACTTCAAAATGTACTTTTAAAATGGATAACCTTTTATTTGATGAAAATAAATCGGTACAATAAATCGTACTACATTTTATTGCTCTTTCCAATGGTACATCAAACTTAATGTTATATCTGGTTTGGCTCTACAGAGGAGGACATTTCATATTTTATTTTATTTCTGCAGATATTGAAACACCTTACAGATCATGGAGCAACAGTAATTATGTCATCTTATTATCTTATTATGTGTAGGGTGAGTCAACAAATTTTGCACTTGTGTAGGTGTGAATGGACTGGTGAAGGCATTTAAGTAACATAAAACTGACACCCTGTTAATGATCTCATTAAAACAATATTTCAAAATTGAAGAGACAAAAAATGATAATTCTCAAAAATTCTGTCATCTGGTCTGGGCTCATTAGGGTTTATAGAATGGATTTAATGTAACGTTTCTCTTACAGATGATAACTTGTTTGAAGTATAAACTTTATTTTAAGTTCTGTAATTCAATATTTCTTATAAAGACACCCTTTGGAAAGTAAGGCCATAAATGAGGTTGTTAATGTACTAATTAATTTCATGTTTTGTGTAATATTTTGTTTAAAATGATTCAAACATTTTGTTATGTTGTACAAGAGGGTGAGTATCATTTCTGATAATCTTGGGCTACCCACTGATAATGTTATAGATCTAGGTATCAGGTATCTATCATGGGGATGTTGCCACATCCCTGGGGTGAAACCCTACCCCTAGACCTTCCTTTCATGTCGTAAAAATTTACGAGATATAACAAGATATGTACGGCTAATTGAGTGTGGGATTTTGACAGAGAAAAATTATACTTTAATTGGAGGGCGATATTGTATTATACTATTCAATTATTGAATCAAAGAATTGGGTTTGATTTCAGTTGTTACAAATTATTTGATTTGGGTACTTTGAGATGGTGTTCATGAGACGGTGAAATTATAGACAAGGATATCTACCAGTTGAAGTCATATAATGTATTAATCTATCAATTTTAATCCTGTTTTCTCATAAAATTGTGACTTTGAACAAAATTTATTAATTAATGTGTTGCACATCGGTCAAATAATTAGACTAATATTTCTAGAGGGAGCAGATTTAAAGCCACCCAACTAACATCCCCCTGGAATTTGAGCACTTTCTTTGAGACTTGTACATCTTGTCATATATTTTATTCAGGTGGAGTTTGTCTAGATTAAATTAGTAAATACCAAAGTGTATCAATCAGTTCATCTATTAGCTTAGTAATTGATGAATTCAAAGAATCACTCTTTTAATCCACATGAACATCAGTTATGATATGTTGCCATGTGTCATTGCCATGCGCAGAGTCTTCATATCTCAACAATTTTTCACTTTCATTATTGTTACAATCTCTTAGCGCTGCAATGATATGGATTTTGATTTGTTTTGTATAAAGTCTAGAGTAATCATTTAGAACCTTTCACATTTGCATATTATAACTTCTTGATTAATTACACTGCGAGCTGCATAAGCAATATCCGTCTGCTCAAAATATTATGCTGATCTTGCAGATTTCTTGTAATTTCTCTCTTAAATTTGAATGAAGAGTTTGATTTTCTTGCATTTCTATACAATTTAGATTATAAACTATGTGTCTTTTAATTTAGTTTTTTGTTAATTTCTCTATTCTTTACTCCAATTCATATTTTAAAATATGACCACCATGAAATTTTTCATGCAGGAATCTTGCAGTGTATTTTGAGATCCTCATATCATATCAGGTTTTATATATCAGAATTACCCACCAAAAAATAATATCAAAACAATTATCAATTCAATTATATAATTGAAAATGATACAGTTTTAAAATTTCACATTTTAATATATTTTGGGTTATATACTATATAAATCTGATTGAATAATTGCACAATTTTACTTATTTGAATGTGTGAATGAGGAAAAAAAAATGTAATTTGAGAAGGAAATTTGTGGGAGAAAATCAGCTCAGTTCCAAAAGTTAGTGTCATTATTGACGTATCATCAATTCTTCCTCTTGTGCCCGGTAACCTCAATTATGACATAAAGTATCACTTTTCACTTAAAATTCAAAATATTCTAAGATTATGAAGTGTCCTGGGGTTGCTGGAGAGAACATAACAGATTTTGTTAAACATTATAAACCAATTTGCATAGAAGTTTCACCAATCCAAATACTATAACTAGAACACAGAAAATCTTCATTTTGCATGTTTAACAGAATAAAATAAAATATACAATTGATACTTATAGTTAATCAATGGGGCTTTTGTTCCAAAGCAGATTTTTAAACCTCAGATTTTACTGTACAATCATTTAATTAACTCAAATGAGCTTATATAATTAAAGTGTATTTATGGTTTAGGGATAAAAACTGTACCACATTACATATGTTTCATTTAATAAGGACAGATCCCTTGAAATATATTCCTGGTATTTCTTAGTTTCATCCAATAACCATTTAGAATTGGTAATCATTTTTGCAAGATGAGCAACCTTGAAAATATATAAAGGTCACAAAAGGCTAAAATTGGCGTAAAGTGGCAAAAATATTCACGAAATTTCTCAGAATTTATGAATTCCTAATTAATTTTTCAAGGAATACTATAGAAAGAATGCAGATAGGATTGCATGTTTGCGATTTTCATGTCCTCATTGACACCTAGTCTTATAATTTTCCTTTACTAAATCTACCACATCTTTACATTCTAAAACCTGAATTAACTATCTAATAATCTGGCATTTCTATACAATTCGAGGCATCAGCTGTAATATTTTCTCATCCCTATATTTGTAATCACTGTTTATATATTTCTTTCTATATCATGGTTAAAACATTCATTGTTGTGGAATATTAGTTTCTGTATTTTACAACAAGCAATCTGGGTTTATATAGAACATTACATCGATTATGATGTCTAAATGATTCTAGCTTCGTATATGTTTTATCGGAGATTTATTCATTTCTGAAATTGTGATTTGCCTCCCTTTTCCCATATTGATGATAATTCCTCACTTTTATATATCCTTGTTCTACCCATCAACCCATTTCCTAAATCTCCCATATTTTTCATTCTCATTTGTACCTATTATATAAGATGAGAATTTTAGATGACATCTGACTTATTTTCTCCTTATATACTGTGTCAAATAAATGTGCTAGTCATAAATTCTTCAGAAATAAATTACCTGGAAATAATTACATTTCGTAATTGTTTCATTGGATTCAAAATATCACAATGTATTTACGTCATGATTATTCAAGAGAAATTTTATGGAAAGGAAAATCGGAAAAATCGCTAGAGCCAATGTTCATTGCTTTTAATGATTGCATTGTTTATGGACAAGCTGATATTTTCCTCCTTGCGTTTATGCTATGTTTGCATGCTATATAGATATTATGCTAGTATACCCTCAATTACAATGAAAATTTAAACAATGATTACAGGAGTTCTATGCTATTCTCACCCAGCAAGTCATTTCCGTGAAGAATGCTTGCCTGGCAAAAATGGACGTCTGCTTTTGCTTTTTTCGCAGTATTTCTCTGTAAAATTTGATTAAACTCTCTGATTTTTTTGCATATTTATTTAATTTTAAGTATCTACTACACACCTGTTTAGTTCATTCCTGTAAAAACCTATATTTATTGTTTTATTTCATGTTTTAAAACATGCCCATCATAGTATTACATTTATAGGCACAAATCCAAGTGGGTCTGTACCCTATACTTTAAGCCTTGAGAAAATTGACTAACTCACACTTTATGTAATTTTTCATGTTTTTAACGCACGATTAAAAGGCTAGAATCTTATATTTTATCCCCCTGTATAATCAAGGATAACAAATGAGGGGTGGGTGAACTTGAATAATTATGCTCTACACTGTGTAAGAAAATGTCAACTTGGTCCTCTGAATGTAATTTGTCATAAACTACAGAGAGAAAAACAACATTTTTTAGAATTCATGGATTCTATCAACTATTGATCATATTAATATATAGACAAAGTCAACAGTTAACCATATATACTTTTCAATTCAAGTCCAAACCCTATAAAAAATTATAAATATCTATACATTTTAAGGCTAAAGCAATTCATTTATTTTTGAAAAGAAAAAAATACAGAAATTAAAATATGTACTACTTAACAAAAAGTAAAATCATTTTGTTACTAATTTAATTCAACTGGTTTTGTGGTCCATGTTAGCCCCACCCCACTTATTAGTACTTGTATGATTTGAACAAGTGGAAATGAATGGTTAGAGTATATATATGTATAAAAGAATGCTATCTTGAAGTTTAATAGGAAAACATGAGTATTAACATACAATATATAGTTTACATTTTTTCCATTTATTACAAAAATGATTTATTGTATTGCCTTTCATATTACTCACTTTTTGAGTGAATATGAGTGAAAAAAGCGTAATATGAAGTTTATTTTTTTGTAGGGTATGTCATTGGCAGATACGCTTATATCTTTTGTATAAGTACCACAATTTGTAAAAACTAATTTTGGTTTTTAAAAAATTCCTATAGTCGTATCCAGTACCTTCAGTTATGTCTTACTTTTTTCTTTGAGCTGGCGCCCCATAGTCTCATAAAAGACTCCCTATAGATCAACCAATGGTCTAAGATATTTCAGACGCTCGGGTCATACCACCGAGCCCTTCCCAGCCAGAAAAACATTAAAAGCTTTATTAATTTCATACATGTCCCAGGGATGAAGCATCCCTATACCTTGAATATTTCACTTGATTTCTCTGTAAATTATTACCAAAGCTTGAATAATTTTTCATTTTTATGCAGTAAAAGCATTGACCAAAGATCCATTATTTCAATCCATAATTCTTTTTTTTCATTTTCACCATAT